TTTGCAGCAAGAAGTTTACCCTAACAGAGCAAAAATGCAAGAGTCTGTGTGACTTAGAGGTCAAAATGAATCCTGGCTATCTGTTCATCGTTTTCAGTATTTAGTTCTGTGCTTGGGTGTATGTGTGTGCCAGCAGTCTATTTCTGTTCTGTGATCTACAGTCTGACATTCTCTGGCTACTCCTGTTTTATGTATCTTCTGGTGAGCCAGTTCATCAAACATTTTTCTTCTTTTCACAGCCGTCTTCCCATCAGTTCATCTTGATTTTTAAAATCCCTCAGATTATTGCTTTGCCTCGATAAGGTCATTGTGCTGCACATTTATCATGAAGCAGGAGACTGGGGAAGCCAATTGGAGGTGCTATTCAGAAAGATTGGGTTCATTAAATTAAAATTTGGAGCTATTGCAATTATTTTAACACAGCAAGAAGAAACGTTCTTGTGTCCTGGTGAAATTAATTAATTTTACTCCAAAAGAATAGAGGTGAACGACTTCTGATGAAATACTTTCAACAGTTGAAAAGAGATGCAAAGTTTATGCTACTGCTTGAGTGTTTTGAAATAAATGCTGAACAGCACAGTTGTGTTTTTTTAAAAACTCTGTTTAAACTTCTGAATAAAATCTAGCTTGAAATCAACTATATTAACACAGACTTTGTGACAGAAATTTTCACCATCATAAGGTGTAAATACTGCTGTCAGAGGCGTGGATTGAAACTACCTATCTTGGTGGTTTACTGGCTCCAATGGTGGGTATGTTATTTTGTTGATATTTTCACCAGAGATTTTGTCAGTAAATTGTGAATGTAAATACGACTATTTACATTTATTACAGAAAGGCAAACTTCATTTCCTCTTAAGTAATAATCAACGAAAGTATTTATCACTGTCAAATCATTGCTATTTACTTTATCAAATTACAATTTAATACATGTTCACTCCAAAGTATCCTATTATACATGGTGCTGAGATGTCAACAAACTCTATTTAGCAAACATGGCCATGCAGCCACACCTACCAACTGTTCAGATGAGATGCACAGTTTATTCACACAATTCAATTAAATATTTACTAATTCACCTACACATACAGAGTTACTAGACCTTCCTGAAAATCCAGTAAAATGCTTAGAGATGTTTTAATGATGTGATAAGGTAATATCATATGCAAGGATTATTATTAATTGTATAGACATCAGAAGCAGATGCACTAACAACAACAACAACAAGATTTCATTTATAGAGCGCCTTTCATGTCAGGAGCACGTCCCAAGGTGCTGGACAGTTGGGTCAGGACCCGAGCAGTGGGGGAAATGGTCAGGGTGAGGGGAGGGAAGGGAGGGAGCGAGGAGGGGAGAGAGTCGAGAGGGGAGCTGAAGGCAAGGTCAAAGAGAAAGGTCTTGAGACCGGCCTTGCAGGAGGAAAGGGAGGAAGCGGCGAAGGCACTGGGCGATGGAGTTCCAGAGCCTCGGGGCTGAGAGGCTGAACGCCCGGCCACCGATGGTAGGGCGGTTGGGGCGGGGGAGGTGGAGCAGACCGGAGCCAGAGGTCTGTACGGGTTCAGAGGAGGGTACGGGCAGGTAAGTAGGGGGATAGTAGGTCAGAGAGGTAGGAGGGAGCAGGGCCGTGAATGGCCTTGTAGGTGAAGATGAGGATCTTGAATTTGATTAGCAGTAACTAATTGTTAACAAATAATTTGGATTAAAAACATTGAAAGGAGCTGGACAATTTTGAAAATACAATAATCTAATATGCATTTCTTAGTGGTGCTGGATAACTTTTGTGATTGTTTTTTAAAACATTTGTGCATCACACAGTACATATTGAAACTATCTTTCCTCGATTTTTCCAAATGCACTCCTCGCCGATCTCCCCATCTTCACTACTAGCAAGATTCAAATCTCTACTGTCCATGTCTTCCCTCGGTACCAGGCTCCCATCACCCCAGTTCCTGCCAATCTCCACTGGCTCCCTGATGCAGAATGGATTGATTTCAAGATCCTTCCTATTACTTTCAAATCTCTTCATGGCCTGACATGTCCTACTGATCTACTCACACCCACCCGCTGTCTTCACTCCGCTGGCATGGGTTGCTGCACATACCTTGTCCCCTCTGCTCCACAATCGGTGGCCGTGCTTTTAACCACTATGCTCACATTCTCTGGAACTCCTTGCCTTGATCCCTCTGTTTTGCTCCCTCTCTGCACATCTTCAAATCACACACTTTATTCTTCGACCATGCCTTTGGCATCTCACCCACCTTTCAGGCTCGATGTTTGCCCACGCCGCTGTTAAGTGCTATGTAATGCTGAAGGTGCTATACAAATGCAAGTTATTTTTGTTGTTCCTGCTTTGTACTGAAATATCAAACCAAAACCATATCAAAATGCATTGTCAGAACCCTAGTAGCTGGATTAAATCATCATTAGTACTCTACTAATGCGTATAGTTCGCCCTGCTTCCCGCCCCTGCCCTCTACCCTCCCCGGTCCCGACCCCCAGCTCGGGTCCGAAATTCTGCCCAGCTCCCTGGGACGTCCTCCCGATGTGAAAGGCGCTATACAAATATAATTTTGTTGTTGATTTTGTGGTTGTTGTAGTCAAGAACCTTTCACTTCCCAATTATCATATATAATAATGCAATTTATATTTAAATAGTGCCTTTCACATTGGGAGATTGTCTCAAATCACTTAACATGTGGAGTCCTGTAGCTCAGTGGTTAGAGCGCTCGCCTTGCAAGCGAGACACCTAGGTTCAATTAGGTTCAAACAGGCAGGACGAAACCTTGGGCAAGTTTCCTTACTCCACACGCCTGATAATAATCCCTCCAAAAAACAAAACAATAATAAATTGATCATTTTCAAACCACGACTGATTGTGGGACACTGCTGTGCGCAATTGGCTGCCGGTTTTCGCCCACAAATATGCAGTCAATTCACTTTACAGCATTATCTGTGAAGTGCTTTGAGACGTCTTGAAGATGTGAAAAGCGCTATATCAAATGCAATGATTATTATTATTATTATTAACATAGCTGACTGGGCATCCACATTTTGGGGGAGGGGGAAGATGGCCAAAATCACAGTCAAAGAAATAAACAAATTGTTAAATATTTAAATTTACCTGTTTCATCTCTTCACATAAATCAGAATTATTGTAATTCTTTGTTACTTAGTGAAACTGTTTAAGATGTCCTATTATCTCAGTTAAGTTAATTAGAACACAGCAGTCCTGTGAATGATAAAACTGGCATGTGAGCGGAAAAGTGACGATGGGCCATGAACTTTCTACTCAAATTCTGAATGATTTATCTACGATATATTTCCAAGCAAAAAGGGATTTTTTTTATTAAAAATGTGATTAAAAACCTTAAAAATGTAATTTGAGGAATTCAAGAAAATGAAAACCATCTGGATTAGGATGATGAAAGGTAGTTTTATTATACAGGAATGCCAAATCATACAAGATTGGAAAAGTTCAGCTGTTTTTTCCCAAAGTAAGATAAATCATAGTATCTTTCATATACCCTTCTCAATCAATTTATTTATCAAATGACTATCCAATTCCCTCTTGAATTGAGATACAGTACTTAAAACATAAAATACTTATCACTATTTAGAATTTTTCTTAATACTAAAGGAAAACATAACCACACTTTATGACAAGAGCACGTTGTTTTCTTGGGTTCTTCCTTCCTTTTGGATGCCTGAGATTTATTACAGGGTCCCATTGTAACAGGTTCAATAGCCACACAGACAGGTTGGACCAAAACAGATGCCCCGAAACTCTGGAACACTCTTCCTCTACCCCTCTGCCTTATCCTTCCCTTCCCCATCTTCAGGTCGCGCCTGAAGACCTTCCTGTTCGACTGTGACTAGGGTCACCTCCCTGGCTTGGCATTGTGCTCAGCCACTGTTAAGCTCTCTGGTACACTACTCTCCTTGAAGGATGCTGTGTAGATGCAAATCGTTGTTCCATCTTTTTGCATTATCCAGGCAGATCAACTTTATGTACACTGTGTGCAATAGGCTGCCGTGTTTGGCCCGCAAAATACAGTCAATTCACTTTACAGTATTTTCTGTGAAGCGCTTGAGACAATAACAACAACAACAAAATGACATTTATAGAGCGCCTTTCACGTCGGGAGGATGTCCCAAGGCGTTGGACAGTCGGGGGTCAGGACCCGAGCATGGGTGAGGGGTGGGATTGATGTGAGGAAAGGCAGAGAGGTGGGAGGGCGACCAAAGGCACGATCAAAGAGAAGGGTCTTGAGACCGGCCTTGAAGGAGGCAGGGGAGGAAGCGAGGCGAAGGGACTGAGGGATGGAGTTCCAGAGCGTGGGGGCAGAGAGGCTGAAAGCTCAGACCCCGCTGGTCGGGCAGGAGACATGGAGCCGGCGGGAGGGAGCCCGCCGAGCGGAGGGAGCGTTCTCAAAGACCCCGATGAGACGCTATGTCAAATGCAATAACGACAACGATCCTCGCGTCTAATACGGCGCCTCGTCACGGTCTTGGAGGCGTCTCAACAGCAACGAAGCGCTTCAAAGAGTATACTGGCGGCAGCGTCTCACAAACGGCGGATTGAGTGACCACATGAGGATTATTTCAAGGAGCAGCGTGGCCACCCAACACACAGTCACCGCCAACCTCCTCCCTTTAAACATTAAATACCCCTGACTTTCCCTTTGAGTGACAGCTGCGAGTGGTTCCCAAAACATTGACAGGAACTCCAGTCTATCTGTCCATCTGTCTGTCTGTCAATCACTCACATGGGGGCGGGGAGGGGGCGGAGTTCCGAACGCGATGATGTCATCAGCAGCCAATGGAAACAAAGAGCTGGGAGGGAGGCGGTCACGTTTGTTTACGCGGCGACGTCACGGCCTAGTGACCGCTCGTGACGTGCGTTCCAAAACACCAAGGACGACGCCCGTGATTGGCGGCTCAGCTCAGAGGGTAGCAACGCCCAATCAGAGGGTCGGCTCGGCGCCAGGTGCCCTGTGACGTCGTGAATGTCCCGGCGGGCGGGCGGACGGGCGGACGCTCGGGTTTGTGTTGTCTTTGCCGTCGCCATTAGTGTCGAGTCGAACCCGGGAGCCCCGGCGGCGAGAATGTCATAGGCAGCGGCGGCGGCGGCGGCGGCGAGGGCGGCCTGAGGCCCCGGAGCTCGGCAGTCGGTTAGGGGGGAAGCAGGAACGTCACTTGGGTGCGGGCTTTATGGTTTATGTTCGTTTTTTTTTCGCTCTGGTCGCGGGGCCGACATGTAATAACAAGCGGAGGGGAGGGAGGGAGGGAGAGGGGTGACTGCGGGGAGTCGAACCGAGCGGAGCGGCAGAAGAAAAGAGGGGGGCAGAGCGGGGACCGGAGGGAGGGAGGGAGGGAGAGAGAGAGAGAGAAGGCCCGACCGGTTCTGTTCTGGTGGTTTTGTTTGTCTGTCTGTTTGTCTGTTGGTGTCTGTCTGTCTGTTTGTTTGTTTATTTATCTCCGGCTCCTGTCGGGAGGCTTTCACGTAAGACGGAAAAAAGTGCCCGGGGAGAAGGCGGAGGCCGATGGGGAATTGGGAAAGGGACCGGGAATGGGGACCGGGACGGGGACCGGGGACGGGATGCGAGGCCGATCGTCAAAACTCTCGGCGCCCCCTTCATTGTGTGATGTGATTGCGGGGTCGAGTTCCAGACCCGGCGGCTCCCTCCCGGACTGCTCTACGCGCTTCTCTGTGCAATAGATCGTCCCCCCCCCCCCCCACCGCCCCCCCCCCCACACCCCCATCGGTTGCCTTTAATATTTCAAGCCCAAATAAGCAATTAGTGCCCCCCCCACCCCTTCCCCCCACCCCCTCCCCTTCTCCTCCTATTCGGGTTTAGATTTCTTTCCATCTGAAATGTTTGTTTATAGATTATGGGATGGCTTTAATTGCCCCCCCAACCCCCCCCCCTCACACCCCTTCGTTTTATTATTTCTTTGGGGGATTTAAATCAACTTGCTATTTAGTGAAGGGGGAGAATAATCTTGTAGAATGGTTTGTAGCCATGGTTTGTTGTGGATGTTTTTTTTGGGAGGGGGCTGTGGGGGGCGTTGGGGGTGGGCGGGGGAGGGGGGAGACATAGCTTTAACATATTAAAGCGATTCCGGGTGTTGAAACCATTCCACCAGGTTCTGTTTCGTGTTTGTTGTGTGTGAAGAGAGCGTTCGATGCGTCTCTTTCTGCCTTTTTTTTTTTAATTTCGCTGCATTCATTCAAACGCGACGCTTGCGGAACTTTACTCGTGTCCAGTGAAGATCCGAAGTGTTTGCAAACAGACTCACGTCAGCAGCACTCATTCCGCCATTCGCATTGCAGTTGTTCGTGGAACCTGGAGCTCTTTGTTGGTGTGTGTCTGACGAAGAAAAACTAGCAGGATATGTAAAAATGCAATTTAGGGCAGACAGTACACTGTGAACGTGCATAAATGTTTTGTTTTTCGAGTTATAGTTTACTGATTGTTGCTCCATTTACAGTTTCAGTATAATGGGAAAACTTTTGTCCAGAAACGCTGGATTATTAAATATACTTATGGTAAGTCTGTTTGATACGTTTGTAATCTTAATCTAGCAAACTTGTTTCCCTTCCCAGAAATTCATTGTGTTCCAGGGCAAATCAATGGGTCCAAATATTCTACAGATTCAAATCTAGTACTGCACATATGCGTAAATCATAGTTGTTTTTGTCTTTTTTGCTTTTGTTAGTACTTCTGAAAAGATGTGTGGGAGGGAGGAATACTGATACCCAAGTAGGAGTAAGAAAGTATTATGTTGGTCTTTAAACAAAGGATTAAGCAATATTTAATACTTTTTAATCCTCTAGTTGAAATGTTTTCTATGGAAATACAACAACATTGCAAAAATTAATTTATAAACCTGTAGTTTTGAGCCTTCAAAGCTTGCACTTTCAATGCAGCTACTATATTTTGAGGTATTAAATCCATATGTTAAATGTTACTGAATATGTATTTTCCCAACTAAAAGAACTCATTAGTGTTCATTGATAGTTTGCATGTGTGGACATTCTTGATGAATGTGTACAGTGACTGTATGGAGTTGGCAATCTTGAAATGACTACTATAATGCTGCTTTGATGAGAAAATAAAGTCTGAAAATATAGTTTTAGTTTTAATTAATGAGCTGTCAGTCCATTAAGGATCTGCAATACATGAATGGAAAGAATAATTGGCTTCAGTTACTTGAGAGTTAGCAGTGACATCTGATCTACCATGTCTGCTGACCTGTGTGTACATGCAGCTACGGTAGTGATTATGTTCTTGAAGTTGAAAAGCTACAGTTACTTCATATTGAATGTTGCTTTGCTATTTCTTTGCAGCGAATTTTAGATGATGCTTCTGTGACAAATTCTCAGCGGGTCAGCTTTGTATCTGACTTCTTTCTGCTTTGAGCTTATACTTTCAATGAATAATTCACAGAATGTTCAAAGGTTTGGAATACCAAATTTGAATTTCATATAAAATGTATTATAGCTGTTTGAGTTATGGGTATTTTTGTCTTGATTCAAAATGGGCTTTCAAAATTGTTTTAATTAGCTCACCAAGAATTATCAGTAATGTAAATTCTAATATTATTTAAAAGAAGTGGGCTCTGAAGACAATGGCTAACTTGTTGAAGGAAATCTTATTCATGTGAGAAGTTGTTGAGGTGCACTTATTTCCTTTTATTTTTGGATGGCAGTGAGGAGGAGAGATGTTTTTTGGTATGATTGCTTTGTTTGAGAAAATTTTGCCGATCCATCTGCTTTGCTTTACGGTGAATCTCGTTCATCGAGCTCAATGCACTAAATAATCTAAGCTTGTTTTAAAGAGCTAATCATACTATAACTCTTGTAAGCAGTTGGGTTCAATTAATTCAGTTTTAACTGGAAAACAGTTTGACTTGCTCTCAGGAAAATATACACTAATGCCTTCTATGATGCAGCTGCAGTGTTGAGAAATTGTATGAATAAACTAAAAATGTATGGAAGGGTTTTGTTTTTAAATTTGCTATCAAATGTGTTAATTCTTTGAGTGGATTTTTTCCTTTGAATAATGTATGACTTCATTTTACTTTTCCAAAATGACAGAATGAGGAAGCCAACTAAAAGGAATCTTTTAATATCGATGTTGATAGTGTAGAAGTCAGTTAAAAGTTTAGAATAACCATTTAAAGCGTGTTTTAGTTCAAAGAGCTACAGGATACTCAAGTGTTTTTGATTCGGATATTGACACTTTTTTATGCGGGAAGGGGAAAGAAGGAAACAGAAGTTACCTTTGTAATCGGTTCTTAGAATTTTTTCCCAACCATCTCAAGTATTGGGATACCAGTGCTTGTGTACTTGTAGTGTGGACCTCTGCTGATAATCATCTATTGGCAAGAGCCGGAGTGCAGAGCTAAGGTCATCACCATAATTACACTAAACTTGCACAATTTTTTTCTAGGAAAAGATCCATGTAAATGTCTCTATAAAAATGCATTGCCCAGGAGAAGCTTTGTTCACAGGTATGTTTTTCAGTTTCATGGATGGTTAGAAGCTAGACAATTATGCGGGGGGGGGGGGGGGGGGGGCTGTGGCACACTACTTTTACTGAGGGTAGCTGCTAAGGTGCTCAGAGAAAAATCTTAACCCATTATAGTTAGTTATATGACTAAAGTCATGTAGTTAGATGCAACTATCTGTTTTTCAGCCTGTGCAGCGCATGATGACTAGGAATGAAAATTCTGGCTGTTTCTTTTTTGGGGGGCCCTCTTTTGTGAGTGCTGAGGCCAACCACAGTGCCCGACTCTCACCCTGACTGAGTTTAGTTGACTCAGCATAGTCCAGGGATCAAAACTGGGTCCTCCATTGTATTATTTGCAAGGATTATTATTTGGTTTCAGACCATAGAATGAGTTCACCATTTGATACATCAGTGGAATAACTGTATTAAGCAGTTGAACAACTTTTATATGTATGCTACAGTTAGAAGTGAATGTGTATGAGAAGTTAGAAGTTCCAGAATTGCACGTAAATGAATTGTCTTTGACTTTCAAAGCTAATTTGAAGCTTTGACTAGGCCAATTTATGTAAATCCTCAAAAGGTCTAAAGATATAGGGTGCTCGACTGTTGCTCCCTTTCAGTTAATGTATGACAGATCCTCAGTTAATTGGAGAAAATGTAATTCATGCTCTCTTTAAATTGTTTCCATTCTCTACTGCAATCATTGGGTGGGCTGTATCCATGTGAGCTTGATAGCAAGTTGACCAAAGTGTTTTTAAATGGAAAACAATTTTAATAATTGATTTGGCCCAACTCCATTACAGATGTATAGCACTGGCCAGCCATGCATTAAGGTTTAAGATAGCCTTGCTTAATGATAAACTTTCCACCTGGAATCTTAAGAATATCAAATTGGCGGAAGTTGCAGAGACAACTGTCTTCTGTTATTTCCTGTCTTCTTGCTAACCTTGTGTCTGACTTTTAATCATTAAACTAAAGGAAGCCCTTTTCCATAGTTTCAATGTGGCTTTCACAAATTAAGCTTAAACATCAACCAAGATTGTCATATAACAATCTTGTGTGATCCTCGTTCCTTGTCTGAAGATCTCTGTGGAGGTAGTTGAGATTTGAGAATAAATGGGTTTGATCTTTGCTTTTTCTGTCGCAGCTTGGGCATTATTGTGAAACCCATTGCCTTGGTTTCATGTTTAAAAATTGACCAACAACTCCTTCTTGATTGCTGGGTTTTGTTTATTAGGTGGAAAGAAACAGTTTGTTGATCTTCACCTTCTGTTGTGCAATGTAATTATATTTCACTTAATGCCTATGTGTTCCCAAATGGGAGGAACAAAATTTGTATACTTAGTGCTTGACTTTTTTTTCAGCCTCCTGTCTGGCCTTGGTGCCTGGTTACCGGTGCGGGAGCGAGCAACAATGACTGAATATGGAATAAAGTGGGCCTGTGAATACTGCACATATGAAAACTGGCCATCAGCAATCAAATGCACCATGTGTCGTGCGCCAAGACCTAATGGCACTATAATTACTGAGGATCCAGTCAGAGGCAGCTCAAGTGATGTGAGTCGAGATTGGGATCCTGCAGGAATAGAGGGTGGCAGCAGTCCTTTGATTTGTCCGGACTCTAGTGCAAGACCAAGGGTTAAGTCATCTTACAGTTCAGAAGGCGCAAGCAAGTGGTCATGCCACATGTGCACATACCTGAATTGGCCAAGAGCAATAAGATGCACACAGTGTTTGTCCCAACGTCGGACCAGAAGTCCTACAGAGTCTCCCCAGTCTTCTGGTTGTATTTCAAGGCCAATCCAGGCTTCTCAAGACCCATGTGAGGAGTATAATGACAGAAACAGACTGAATACAAAAGCACTGCATTGGACGTGCACCGCTTGCACATATGAGAACTGGCCCAAGTCTCGGAAGTGTGCGGTCTGTGACCATCCTAGACCTAACAATTTGGAAGCAATTGATTTTGCAGAGCCTGAGGAAGCTTCGTCGCTGATAAATGAGCAGGATAGAGCTCGATGGCGGGGAAGTGGCAGTAGCAGCAATAGCCAGAGGAGGTCCCCACCAGTATCTAAACGTGACTCTGAGGTGAAAATGGACTTTCAAAGGATTGAGCTGGCTGCTGGAGCTGTTGGCACTAAGGAAGAGCTTGAAGTGGACTTTAAAAGACTGAAGCAAATAAAGAATCGAATGAAAAGATCAGATTGGCTCTTTCTCAATGCCTGTGTAGGTAGGTTTGCATCTGGATTATCTTTAAGGTCAATTTGAAATTTTGATTGGAGGAAATGTATATATTTTTGTGCATAAATTTACAATATGTTTGGGAGGGTATACATTTAAATCTAAAGGTGACACACTGTTAAAGCCTATATATAGTATATTGGAAATGTTTTTTCACAGTGCCAATTTTATGGATGTGGGGCGTGTGTGTATGGTGCAATATGCAGCTTGCACTAGTAGGTTTCTTTGAAGTCGTTGTAATTTATGCAAACAGTAATATGCAAGGGACATTACCAATCTGCAAATGCATAACTCTTGCTAAGCTTTAAGTTTCTTACAGGTGCTTACAGGTACTCATTCCGACGTGAGAGGCTCTATTTATATAAGCTTGTATTGTAAATCAATGTTTTTGATGACCAGACAAAGCTTTGAAATTCAGCTTGACCAAAACTTTTGGAAGACCACCCAAATGTTTAGAGTTCAACAACAATAACAGCTTGTGTTTAATAGCGCCTTTCACACAGGGTCTTGGGAGTGCATAAAAGTACTGTTTTTAGGAACAAGAAAATTCTAAACTCCTTCAGGCTGATCCAGCTTTCTCATTGTTAAGGACTATATTTTATTGCTCTTACTTTATTGCACTACACCTGGAACTGTTTGCTTACTGTTGACCTTGAAATCTATTTCTTATCTATACAACTAGCTGTTATGGCACCAAATGTTATTGTGTGTTATGCAAATATATAATGTACAAAATGCATGTGTACAGAGGGAATTGCATGTGCACTTAATTTTGATATAGACCAATAAATGATTTGTTAATTGCATAATTAACAAATCCTGTTTGATTACTTACAAAATTACCTTTAATTTCCATGTGGTTTGACTTGTCTGCATGAGATAAAAATTCGGTAAATGCTGATATTTGATTTTGTGACATACTGCAATCTGAAACAAATTGAAATTTTCACTTTTTCTACAGTGGTGGAAGGCAAATAATTAAGAACCATAATTAATTCAAATGTGGCTGGAGCCTTAAAAAAGGGAGGTGAGGGTCAAAGCTGAACAAATTGGGTGGAGGAGGAGTTTGAAAAGTACTAATCACTATGCTTGTAGTGAGTGACCAACGGTGTCCAAATCGCATGCTTTTACTGAGACAGTAGAGGAGGCCTGTGTGTTTGCGTGATATGTCTCGGTGTCCTGTAAGCATGCAAAATTGTCATAAGAATTGAAAAGATAATCAATATTATCTGATGAAAATCCAAACATATCAAAATTGATTTTCACCAATTCCACAACACATGGTTTGTGCATTGTGCATAACATTTGCAAATCTCCATATGGTTTATGCGCTTATAGGCGCTGCAGTGTCTCAGAGAGCTTAACAATGGCGCCTAATCGGAGGAAGGAGGTGACTGTAATCACAGTTGAAGAGAAAGGTCTTCAGGCATGATCTGAAAATGGGGAAGGAGACTTATGAATCTCTTTTTTAGAGTGCCGATCTCTTCTATATATCAGCTGAAGTGCAAGCATCTTCAAATGCAAGGATTATTATTATTAACTTACCCTTTCGTTGTTGCCTTAGTGAATAATTATTTTCTCCAGTTTGCTTCTGCATCTGCACAAAGAACTGTTTGTCACTGCTGTACAGGCCTAGACAGACTCTTGTGGATATTAAGTTGCACGTTAGTGAATCAATTTTTGGAGAGTTTCTTGAATGATTTCTTCAAAATGTAAAAAAGCCAGTCTGATTTAAAGACCCTGAGTTAACAGAAGCCATAAACATCTTTCCCTTTGTCATTTGTACACATGATGCACAGTTGACACAGCTAAAAGTAAGACGATTCTCAGTAAGGTAGTAAGGTGGAGTAGTTTTGTTCATTGGCTCTAATCAATTGTTTTGATAACTAATCTGGTTGTTTGATAAATGTTTATAGCTGTTAAATGAACTGACCAGTTAGATTGGTGGATAGGCTCGATTAGTCAGATGTATGTTGAAAAAACACTGGGAATACCTGTTGCGTGGCAAAATCCTCTATTGGGTAGTTTGAAGTTCTTATTTCAACAACTTGCATTTATATAGTGTTCTTCAAGCCAGATGGCACCTCAGAGCCATTTCAGCTGTAATAGTGCAGTTATGCTGCAGCAATTGTGTTGAAATCAGCATTCACTGCACTGAACATATCGGAGCACACTTTGAATAACAAATGGTTTGGACTACTTCAAGAAGATCATAATAATAATAATCCTTGCATTTGATATAATGCTTTATCACATCTTCTAGACATCTCAAAAGAGCTTCACAGAATATATTGTAAAGTGAATTGATTGTATGTTTTGTGGGCGAAATGATTGTCTCAGGTTTGTGCCAGTTGTCACAGTCAAAGCAAATCTTTTAACATTAAAAGCCCAAATTTGAAAATTTGATTCATAGAACTGCACATATGTGTTTAATGTAATATTAAACAGTATTCAGATAGTTGTTAATACTGAATCTGAGTGTGCATGAGGAATTGCATAGTTGTTGAATACTGGTTCAGCCTAAAATATTGTTTTTTAAAAAAAAATGTGCAACTGAAGTGTTTCACTGTCGCGTACCTAAAGACATTACTTGTAGGTTTGAACTAAATATCTATAGAACTCCTTTACGTTGTTTATTTTTGCCTGCTTTTTGAAATTGGATTATTTTCCCTGCGATGTGGCTTGTGTGCACAGTACCACTAACTTCTGCTCTTTGTCCCTGAGTTCCTGATAATCACTAAGCAGGAATTCAAGGGTCAAGAGTGAAGGCCAATAACCGTAGTACACAAAATCGTGTAATGTTTACAGAAAGTCAAGCTGGACTGCAGAAAAAAGTTACCTCAGTAGTGCATAAAGTTTTAATTGCATTTGAAGTGTGGAGCCCTGCAGTTTGAAAGAAACCTAATCAAAGTTAATCAAAATCATATGTTTTCATTTTTAAATGGATTTGGGTGATTTATGAGAATGATCCATAAGTGTTCTCCTTTCAGATGTGAAGTGTATGGGCTCCCCAAAATTGTGTGGCTGAGATGGTAAACATGTGTTTCTTTTGCTTTATTGCACATTGCATTGATGCTCTAAGATTTTATAACACCATAAATTTGTAAAGTAGTATACTTAAATATTTGTGTCCTGCTTTCTACATGATATCAAACACACTGCTTAGCCTATTTATAACTTTTGGAATGTCTGCACTGGAAGAGCATGGGCTGAGCTAACCGTTATTTTCATGGATTAGGCCATAATTGATTACTGAGTACATTTTGCAGTTTCTAACTTCTAGCCTTGTGGAGTAATTTTGCCTATACTGTGAAGCATACATTTTACAGCAAAAGGTTTTTATTTATAAGACTCACCTTCAAACTATTCCAATGCCTGATGTGAAGCTAGAAGAATGGTTATTACTAGGTACGCTAGAGTGGGGGGTAGGGTCTGTCGGCAGCAGATTTTATTGTTTCTTTCTGACTAACTGGGTTGACAACTTTGGCAAAGATGTAGGACATTGTTCAGTTAGAGATGATTTTTTTTCGAAAATAACAGCAAAGAGTTGGAATGTGGCTGGTTTCCAAAGGGTGTTGATCAGTGGTCACGGGATATTAATCTGATTTTTAAACTGTTGTTCAAGCCTGACCAGTTGCATTTCACTTGTGTCCTTATGGTCCCAAGAACATTTTAAACTATACAAGGTATCTCAACCAAATAAACAAATCTAATTTCATTACGTTTACCGTACATCTTGTTGTACAAAGTGATATGTAATGAGATATTCTGATTACGTATCACCTCATTCCACATATCATCTGCAGATCTTGTAGGATGGGAAAATTATTTTTCTTATCTCTGGTCTTCCTTGATTTACTATTTTTTTGTATTCCAGTGAGTTTAATTTGAATATTCTGGTTACATCCACATTATCCATGACTTTCCCAATTTTAAAGACATGGATCATGTCCCTTTCAATGTTTCTTTTCTGCAGTGAGGACAAGTTCAGTTCTGTCACCTGTCTTCATAAGTTAATGCTATGAATCCTGGAATCCTTGTCGCTCTTCTGCACCCTCCAATGTACCAGTATCCTTTTTGAAGGTCAGTTATCCAAGCTTCACAAATATGGGCTTGTTAAAGCTTAAACTTGCTTGTTTGATTTATAGCTAAATGCTCTTGAGATGATGCATTGGGAAACACATGATAGTCTCGTGTTGACTGGATACTTTCAATGAATGGTTAAATGGTTTTCTTTTTCCCATCTTACTAACTGTTTCATTGTTGCATGTTTACAAGCATCATTATCTTGAATTAATTTCACATTCATTCTCATTTAATTTACGATCCTTTTGAATGCTAGTAGATTCTCATTATCTGTCCATTTATTACAATTATCAATAATATTTATAACATTGGTGAGCTAATTACACTTTAATTTCATGTGCCTTTATCACATTCAAATAACACTAATGCGAACAAGAGTACTCTCTTCACTCCCATTCACTAAGATGGTTGCTTTCTCAAGAATTGTGAGACATGCATATCATTTTGTTTAGAAAACTCAATTTACTTGAGAAGATCCCCACTACCAATATTAGACTAAGAGTTCATTAACTCCCGTATTCATGTCCGAGTCCTTTTTTCTTTCGAACTTGTGGAAAATAAAATGGGTTGGAGCTTTTGCATTTGCTTTAGAATGTGAGGAAATGGTGGAGTGGACATATCTATTAATATATTAATATTCCTGTCTAATTGGTGATTTTGAAGATGGCTGGAAAGGATGGGGTGAAGCTTGGCTCTATTACTAGTCCATATATTGGTCAGGCATAAATTGCAAATTTGAGAAGAGGTAAAGAAAGAAACTAATGTTGCATTACATGTGGGAAGTAGAGAATTGAGGTTTTTAGCTAATGTATTTGAGAATACAGTTCACGGGTTTATCAAATTACTGCTTTAATACTAAATGCACAAGAAGCAGTACACTTAGAAATACAACCTGCAGCATATTGCTGACCTGTAGCTAGAATCTATTGTTTTCAACTTATCTGTAAAATCAGTGCCTGTCTTTACACAAAAAAACTTTCTGTCATCTGGAGATCTCAGAGGAGGTCAAGCAACATTTCGGCTAACAAGCGGAGATCCAGCTAATTGTTCTTTGTTCTGCCTCCTGAAAAATGTAAAAGAGCAGCCATTGTATCTGCATATCAAAAAGTTGCGTATTGTACTATTTTAAAAGTCCCAAGATTTGGATAATGTGTGTGGTTCCCGGGTGATTATTGTCCTGATATACTACAACTACATCAAAGCTTTGGAAAGGTTGTACTGGGTCTAGTTTGTTCCAAAAGCTTGTTAAATGCTGAGTTAGTACCCTCAGTCAGAGCCCTGCCCAACCCAGTTCATTGTCCTAGACAAGCCGTAGGTAGCTGGCGGCAGTGCAACAGGATTATAAACAGTGGGGAGAGTGGGACTTGTTTGTGCTGGTTCAAGCAATGCAGAATTCTTTGCTTGGGGGAAAATTTCACTACTAGCATTGGACACTGCAGGAATATGTAGCAAACGTATTTGTAGAAATAATAATCCCAGCATTTGGTATAGCACTTGTGCACAGCAATGTCCAACATGCAGCCGTGAAGTGAATGACCAATTTTATTTGGGGAGATTGTTCGCCAGGACATGAGGAAAAAGTCCTCTCTCTTTTCGAATAATGCAATGGGATCTTTATTGTGCAGCTGAACTATACTGGAGTTTCAGCCTAGACTATGTGAGTTCAAAGTCTTGACGTGAGTCTTAAACTCAAAATCTTCTGACTCAAAGTTGAGAGGCCTACCACCTTAACTAGGCTGATACAATTGGGCTAATGAGGTGAAAGTAGTTGATTTAAAAAGGTGCGCAAAGCATTCTTTCATTGGTTTATTCCGTACATCTCAGGTCAAGCTAACTATAATAATAATTGCATTTGATATTGTGCTTTAGCACGTCATTGAGCCGTCTCAAAGTGTTTCACAGGATATACTGTAAAGCTGATTGACTATTTTGTGGGCGAAACGCAGCAGCCAGGTCCGCACAGCAATGTGCCACAAATAGCCATGGAGCGAGTGACCAATTTTATCTTGGGTGATTGTTGGCTAGGACGACGACGACAACAACAACAACAACAATTTACATAGCATGCTTCATGCCGAAAGGCGCATCTATGTGCAATAGTACTTCACTTAAGTTTGAGATGTTTCTGATGTGCGGTGAGGCCTGTAATCATTGTTAGTGGCACACAGTGTTCTCTGTGGAATTGAGAGTGAGCTGAGATGTTACTGTGACACATGTTCAAACAAGATAGATCAGTAATCACTGCAAGTTTCAGGCATTGTTTTGCTCCTACAGAACTGCAGAATTCATTTGTATGCCAGAGTTCAACATGATGTTTGCACGGACTCAATTTGAACTTTTGTGGTTTTAACTTCTGACCTTGGCTGTTCTATTATGAAGCGCACACAGTCATTGAGGGCAACGTGCCTATTTTCTTTTCATTTGCTGTAAGCACTTTTGTTTTCTCTGCTAATTTTCTCCACCCCCAGCTTTCAACGGTAACAACAACAAAATTACATTTGTATTAAGTGGTCGAATGTCTCAAATGTAAACTTCATGCTTGTGGAATTGCACCCCAGAAAAGGGGAATTTAAGGAGAGGGGAAAGAGAATTAGTAAGTTTAAAAAAAAACTATTGTACAGTACATGCTGTTCATTGAAGAACAATATGGCCTTATTCTCCACTTGTCAAGGTCAGTAAATTTAGTGACAATGAATGCTTCATAATAATAGAACATCAAGGTCAGATGTTCAAATTCCAAAAGTTCAAATTGGACCGGTCCAAATTTCACTATAATTGTTGCTGAACCGATGAGTTGTTGAATGCCATAGGGGGCAAAACAATGCCTGAAACATGTATTTATTGATGAGAAATTCTGTAAATGTAAAACCCCAAAGTTTTGAACTGTGGCCCTGCTTGTTGACGATTGATCCTTCACACTGTATGTCAACCTCCGTTCTGCCTGCTGCGTACAGCATGAATTTAACATGAATACCATTTGTGAAAGTGAAGTTGTTGGATTTCTCCATGGAAACCTTGCGTGTTATGCGGGTTGCGTCTTCCACAACAGGGATAGCGCATTGTCTTTCATTCACGGGGTTTGGTTCTTACAGTACAGTGGCTGTAATATACAATCTTTGCTTTTTGGGTTGTATGTAACAGCAATACTGTTCAGAATTAATTACTAGTTGTGGGCTTTTGAATGTTGTCTGGGAGATTTCTTTATTATACAACTTTTCATGGGATTGTTGAAGCATTTTGAATTTATTTCTCCCCCCGATTCCATCTGTGATTCCACTGATTGTTTTTACCTCAGTAACCTATGGTTATACAGGACTAAATGTGTGCCGTTCTTCCCCCCCTACTCCCCCCAAAAATTGCAGCATTGTATGGTGGTTCCATTGTGGAAAGTGACAAAACCAAAAGAGGTGGAACAACGGAATAATTGTGCACAGCAACAGTTAATGCTGAATTTGATTTGTGAAGTTATTGGATTTGTCCAGTTTCTGGAAACTATTTGGGCTGTTGCATTCTCCCACTCAGTGTGTTTGTGCGAATTTCTTTCAAAGTTCAAATAGTTTATTCCGTATCAGAATGCATTCCTAGTGTGTGTTTTTGATCTTGATTTAGAATGGGCCTTTCTGACTTTTGTGCATAAATGGTAGTGCACAAACTGCCGTTGCCACTTCTTTTGGCTTTGTTGCTTCACTGGCAAGGAGCCGAGTGAATTTAAAGCATTGTTGCAAAGCTGACCTTGAACTGAACTTGTGAATAATCACTTGCAAATGGCAGCAATCCCTTTCTGTGGTACGGTGATAAGATTTTCAAAATCAAACTGCAGAATCTGTTTCAATGGAGGGGAAAAAAACTGCTTTTACGCATTAAGTTGATAAGACAGCTGCATTTGCGACCAATGGTTGCATATGATGCTTGTGCCGCCTGGATTAATGGCTGCTACATAACTCCTATTGGCCTTCCCTACCTACCAGTCCTTATAAAGGATTGTTTCGTGTACCTTGGCAATTGTGTAGTTACTTCTGCAGTAGCGTGATTCAGAGTTTTTACCAATGGAAACGATGAGACAATCAAGATTCATAGGGTGTTTGTGTACATTGTGGTACGGCTTGCGCAGAGTTGCACGGTGCTTTTCATTGAGGCAAAGTTAGTGAAGTGGTACTCTTCGTAAGCGCTGTGCATTTGTGGTTCAGGATAGGAATTTCAGAATGTCATATGACCTTAACTCATTTATGATTACGTGGATATGTGTGCTTGTGTATCCAGCGTGAAAGGCGCTGTATAAATGCAATTTTGTTGTTGGAAGGTGAGCATAGTGATGCAGTAAGAAGCGTATTTAACTCCTTGAGGGTAGAGTATTGGATTTGGCCCGTGTACAACCCTATTCATTTGCCAATGAGTGTAAATACTAAAAAGCTTGCAGTGGACATGGAGGGATTTTGTAGCAATCTTTCTTGACATCCTGAAAGATCCACAGGCAAAAAGTGAAGTTGTAACTTGGAATATATTGTGCATTTGGAATTTGCTGTTCTTTGTATTCTGCCCAAAGTGGCTGTAATCCCAAGCTCCAGTAGCCTCAAGGGAATTTTAGAACTGGTTCTGAAATGTTTATAGGCTAAAAATCCATTTAACTTTTATGAGCTGCAAATCAGACTTGCTTATGTTACTAGCTAAATATAGCTTTAACTCGCACACCATTTAGGAACTAATTCTCAAGGAAAATCTTATGAGTTTCTGAGACTACTATGATCTATTTTCCAGAATACTTTTGCAATGTAGAAATGGCCACACATATACATTCTATTGTTCCATGTCTAGTACTTGTAATTTATATTCAGCCTGTAAATCTTTCCTGATCTAGAAGGCTCAGACAGGCAAGCAGCACTAAAATTGTATTGCTGCTGTGTAGGGATAGCTAGTCAGTATATATTTATCTTACAGCCGGTACTGTTACCTCTGGAGGTGGGTTGATACCTCCACTTGAGCACCCCAGAAGCAGGTTCGCAGCATTTCTCAGATCCAAAGCCTTCTGAGTTAGAGAGAGTCTATAAGGCACATATAACAGTTTATAATTTGCATCTATGAATCAGAATTTCAGCCCATGTTCATGTAAATTGAAACTGCATATTTTTCCTCCTAATGACTTAAGAAACGGGCATCATGGTTTCTCAAGCAGAATAAAAATGTTGCTTTACTAATATCTGAATAATTCTAGCTGAAGTTTACATTTAAATTTCTGTTCAAACTTCAATTTAATATTCTGGAAAGTGGGGACTGCTGTTTTAGGCTCCATTATATGAAATACTTTGGCAGAAAAAAAACATGGTTGGAGCTGCAATGTATTGCCAAATAAAGGTGTTTTTCCTTTTCTAGTGTTATTGCTGGTCTATAACAGACTTCAGTGAGGCATGCTATTTAACTATTTACTACAATTAATTAAAGAGTAAACCAAGAACACTCTTAAGTACAGAGTCCAACTGTTGCCAAACTCCTTTCATTAGTGCCAAGTTTAAAATTCTGTGCAGAATTATAATGCAGCACCTTTTTTCAGTCCATTATTCTACAAAATTTTAAAAAATGTCCAGTGCTTTATATGTGATCTGTGGAAAAAGAACCCGTTGAAAATCAAGAGGTTGCCTATAAGTAAGTTAAAATACCTGCTGTGTGCTCGAAGAATATCTTTTGAGAATCTGTATATGTGCTTACTGTTCTGTGGGACTTTTTTTGTTGCAGTAAGCAGGTCTTAAAATCTTTACTTAGACTGGATCCACATTCGCATCTTGTTTAACAAACTGATTCTANTTTTTATATATATATTATATATATATAATATATAAACACACCAGGATTCATAAAGTAACTGAACTTGCTTTCTATCCTACAGGGGTTGTAGAGGGTGATCTCGCTGCAGTAGAAGCCTACAAGTCATCTGGAAGTGACATTGCTCGACAGCTTACTGCGGATGAAGTGCGTCTGTTGAATCGTCCTTCGGCTTTCGACGTGGGGTACACCCTAGTACACCTTGCTATACGCTTTCAGAGGCAAGATATGCTGGCAGTTTTGTTAACTGAGGTGAGTTAAGTATTCCATCACAATTTTTTCAATTTGCCATTTAGCAAAGTTAATGTCAAATGAAATTTGGAAATCTGCAGCAGGTCAATTCACCAATTTCAGTTGGGATTTTATTGAACCAGACACAGAATTATAACTGAGCTTTGCTGTGGCTATATTTCGTGAGCTATGGTCAGTCATCTTCCCTCCCACCCCTCTTTAATCCAACCCCCAGCCCGGGTACAAACTCTCAACTGTCCATTGCCTTCGGACATCCTCCAGACGTGAAAGGTGGTGTATAAATGCAATTTGTTGTTGAAAACCTCAAGTTATCAAAACCATCCACACTGTGTATGGAGATTAAGAGGAAGAATTCTTGATTAAATAGTTAACTTTGAAAGGAAGTAGTTAATCATGAATGCCATTACCTGTCTGCTTGTGCCTTTATGTTTCCTGAAACTGCATTGCTCTGTCACAATTATGTAATTTTTGAGAAATTTAAAATGTTGCTGCTCAAGGTGAAAGTACTCTTTTCGGAGAATGGAAAATCTTCCACTTCGGTCAGTGTCAGCATCAAATGCTTTCTGGTTCGCCTCCAGCTACACTATTCCAACAATGTGCCTTAGCTCCAAACCTCATCTTCCTAAATCAGTGGGACATTTTCATTTCCCACGCAGTCATCCTTATGGCATATCTGAGTTGGACAACCAGTGCTACACTGACATTTTGAGCGCTGGATTTATAGACACTGGAGAACAGATTGGCTAAATCAGATTTCTTTCACTGAAGGCTATTTATAACCTGACTTTCTCTGCTGCGTTTAAATCGAGGCTCCAACTGCAAAGTACACTCTAAGCTATTCTGGCATGGGGTTCTGGGGAATGTGACTTTCTTGAAAATGTTTGATGGGATTCCAAGAAATTAAACCAATTCAATTTTCTTTTATTAAAAAAAAGTTTAGATTGATCTTTTACAATGTTGTTCAATGTATGCATTGGAATCCTGCTAAACAACTCCTTTGCCAGGAAGCAGTTGAGTATAGATCATCATGTCTGCATCGAGAATCTCCAGCATATTAACTCAAAACCCCAAAAATGCAAGAAGGGGTTTTGCATAGTTCATCTCAGGAGTTTACTACTTGCCATTTAATTCTTTCTAAAACAATTGATTCCAGGTTGTATACTTCTTCCCAAGTCAAACAACGGTCTGTGTTTATATCCAGCAGTTTGAATGTAAAAAGGCTGTGAAATATCTTTTCTGTCTGAAAGAAATTATATAAAAGCTTCTCCTATCAGCCTCCTTTGGCACAACATTCCCAGAACAGACATAAATGTTGATCAAAGATTCATCAACTCTGCCCAAGCAGTAATAACCTCAGGAGAGTACTCCCTACAGCATTAATGGGACTTTTCCACTTTCTACAGCAATCATTCTGTGACTTCTCTGAGTGAGATTGCCAAGCGAAAAGCAGTTTTGTGCTGTCAGCCCATGTCTGTCGAGAACTTGATAGATTGCCAATTAATTTTGCATGGGAATCTTATAACCAAACCTAGAAAATTTTATTAATAATAATAGTAATAAAATAATAATCATTGCATTTGATATAGTCTCACATTGGGTGGATGTGTCAGTGTTTCAAAGGTTTTATTGTTAAGTACAGTGACTGGATATTGTAGGTGAATGTGGCAGTCAATTTGCACACAGGAATATCTTTAAAGTGGATTACCAATTTAATCTGGAGGATTGTTGGCCAAGACACTGGGAAAAATCGCCTTCTCTTTCCGAGTTGTGCCATGGGAACTTTAACATCCATCTGAACAGGCAGACATGGCTTAATTTAATGTCTCATCCAAAGGACAACAAGTCTTACAATGCCATGACTGCATTGGAGTGTCTGTCTGGACTATGTGACTAATCCAATCATTCAAGGCGGGATTCAAACAGGGAGGTTTAAGAAAAAGTGCACAAAAACAATCTGCTGTTTAGTTCCTAAATTATGTTTTCATATATTTTCTTGTTTTAAGTTTTTCTTGCCCCATACCCTCTCCTCTTGATGACATAAAATTCAGGGGGTGGAGACAGCTCTGATAACTTGGCAAAGTGTGTATTCTTCAAATGTGATCTTAGATCATGAATGCTTGCAGACTGTTTGTTCATGGAGCACATCACACCGATAGCTGACATATACACACAGCAGTCACCCAAACCTGCACCAAGGGTCATTGGGAACTGATCAGAAGTGGAGGGAAACAACATTGGCTTTCTTCTCGCTCTCTTTCTTCCCCCCTTATCCCCTACCCATAGTGCCCCAACTGCTGTTCTGGTTGAATTATTCAAGGTTTTTTTTCATTGCTTAAATAGCAGGATAGAAAACAGACTGATGCTGCTAACAGGATTATATACAAAGTGGAATAAATTGGTTTTAAGGTGATTGTTACTTTACAGAATAAATGACATGCTTATCTGACCTAGAAACAATTTCATTTCACAACATCAACATCCCTCACTGAGTACATACAAACTTCACCCAAGAAATGATTTGAAGGTTATTTTGTCAATTTTGTACCTCTTTTTCCTGATTCTCCTATTCTTCTTCCCCATCAAACATGTGGAACCTTTACAGGGATACGATTCCACAGATGTTAGTCATATAGCCTTGTGTTTATTCTTCATATGATAATAATAATAATAATAATAATCCTTGCATTTGATATAGCGCTTTTCACGTCGGGAGGACGTCCCAAAGCGCTTCACAGAATAGACTGTAAAGTGAATTGACTGTATATTTGTGGGCGAACGCGGCAGCCAATTGCGCACAGCAATGTCCCACAAACAGTCGTAGATTGAAAATGACCAATTTATTATTGTTTTTGGATTTTGGAGGGATTATTATTAGGCGTGTGGAGTAAGGAAACTTGCCCAAGGTTTCGCCCTGTCTGGAATTGAACTCAGGTCTCTCACTTGCAAAGCGAGTGCTCTAACCACTGAGCTACAGGACTCCACGTCCTAAACCATATTTATGTTATTATTGATCGTTAATTTTTATTGGAGCTTCACAAGGCTTTGATCAGTTTAAAATTAGTTTTATCGAGCCTATGTAAAAGGTGCCCCTGTTAGAATACAGTGGTCTGGATCCATAAGCGCCCCTGCTTTAAAATTCAAGTGTGAAAATAGGGCAGCCTTCCCGTTTATCAGATTGCTGACATTAGAAGCCCCGGTAACGTCTCTTACCGGAACCTTCTCTGGCTTCTTGGTATCCCCTACTTCTGGTTCACAATACAACTGGGTTCCAAGCAGGCCCGTGCTAAAACCAAGGGTCTTTATAACAAGGTTGCTCTGTATATCTTTTCTCGGTGGCCAATCCACATCCTGAATGTGAAAACTAGACTAGTGCAATGAATTTGGTGTAAAATTTAAAAGCTACGTTCATCAATTTATCACTTGGAAATGTGTATTAACTTGACGTTTTCCTCCAGGTGTCTCAGCAAGCTGCCAAGTGTATACCTGCTATGGTGTGTCCAGAGCTTACCGAACAGATACGTCGTGAGATAGGAGCATCCCTCCATCAGCGAAAGGGAGACTTTGCCTGTTATTTCCTCACTGATCTGGTGACATTCACATTACCTGCAGGTACTGAAACTTCATGAAACTCCAGTGGGTTTATTTGTATATGATGTTGGATTAAATGTTTTTGAACAAAACTAGGATACTGGGCTGGTTGGTGTCCACTAATAGCAAATATTTATATTCTGTTTATGTAATTCCAGTTAACCATTACCTGAGGATATTCTTAATTGCCATCTTAAATGTTGAGAGATACATTGGCTGTCGGACTTTATTTAGGGCCCATATTTTAGTTATGAAGTTCTGTTTATTTTTGAAATATTTGCCCTAAATAAAGGATGTTCATTACAATTTTACAGCTTCTCTGTTAATTTTGGTTTTGCAATTTTGGAATTATTTCACCTTGCCCAGCAATCTAACTGTGATTGATTACTGACCATGAATGTGTAATTTCTGGCAATTTCTCTTGTTTGGCATATTTGGGAATAGCTTAATTCTCAAAGCGCATTGAAGGAATCATTCAGAAGAATGACAATTACGGTTGAGTAATCTATCTCGAGGTATTGTTGTGACTGTCTGACTAAATCTGGCTGCACTATAATGTGATTGTCCATCTTATTTAATGGGAACATGATCTAAAGAGGATTAATGTCTTTAGAGATAGGTCACTGAAGTTGAATGGCTGCCTAAATAAAGAAGCAAATGAATGAAGATGGCATAGTTTTGTGACGTTTGTATAGATGAAAAGTGTAGTGTGAGCAGGTGTATTTAAAGATCTAGGCTACAAGTAATGTATTAGTCTAAACCAAGTGTGTGTGTGTATATATATATATAATGCGATATATATATATATCGCATTCCTTAATTTAATGCTGACTTAGTAGTTTAAATTCACTTAGTTTCCTTAACTTTGTATAAAGAGCAAAGTAAGTGATAGTATAAGAAATGGTGCTAGGTTTGAAACTAGACACATTTCGGACTGATTTTCACAACTTCTAAAGAATTATATAGCATGATTGAAATTTCAGTGATGTGCTGAGCAAATTTTTACGAGCAAGACTTTCAATATAATTTGATTTCTCAAATATTGAAAGAACAGCCATTTTTAAATTGGGATTTCCAGCTTCTAAGCTTTTAAGCTATTGTAATGTCATTTATGATAACCTAATAACCTGCGTTTATGGACCTGTGATATAGTAGGTTCTGCTGGCGGAAATTGAAGAGTAAGTCTTTCAGTAATTAAATGATTTGGGGCCAGCATAAATTTCCTTTAGTATAGCAATCGCATTGACTAGACAGCTCATGAATCATACCGTTTTAACGATATATCGTGTCCTGTTGAATTAATCAGAATAAGTAAGAATTAGGGTTTTCTGTTTAAGTTTGAATTGTATATGCACTATAGAGCTACAATTTAAATTCTCAGTAGACATGCAGTTTTGTATTTTCTTTAGACAATAGATTTATAAACTGCCTGAAATCCTATTCACTGGTAAAATGTTAGCACAACATTTATCTTTGGTACTTTAGGGAAAATGATTCTTAAAAGGGATAAAAGAAAGTGCTTGATTATTTGAGGCTTACCAATCTTTCTTGCTCAAAGGGGATCATAATTGAAAGAGTAATGGAGCATTGAAGTTTGAGCAAAAAGCCTTTTAAAAAGCTGCATCTGTACAAACATGTTTGGCAGTCATTCTGTGTGAAGATGGGAATTGCAGTGATCAGTGCTTAAAATGGTAGTATGGTAAAGTTGTTAGATGCTAAATACTGGTAGGTGGAAGGGGGAAGCAAAGGCCATTTCTTACAGCAAAGGCTGTAAGAAGTGGTGCATAGCTCTGTCAGGAAATTTGCATGTAGTTAATTAAAATGCAGAAGGTACAAGATGAGTCTCTTCGCTCTCCCCCCATTCATTTGTAATGCATCATATCAGCTGCATACAACTTGTACCAACCCTACTCAGTACAGTTGCTTGAAGTCCTGTTGCTTCACACCGTTTAAACTCTTCAGCTCTCTTGTTCCTTCTGACATCGCATAATGTAGGGTAGTAATATTAATGTGGTCGGCTGGGTCTAATATTTTAAGCGACTGTGACATAATTGAGGAATGAAAAAATGTTCAGCTTCTGGGTCATGAAATTTCAAAGATGCTTGCTGCACACATGTACGTTCAAGAATGCTCCTAAATACGTTGTAATTTTACCGAATGGGAGCTTTTGCAGGAAGTTTTTTTTAAAAAAAGCATAAAGGGTATAAAGCATAAAAAAATCCTACAGCCCCTCAATGGCAACAAGGGAGTGAGTCCAGTAACATTCTCACTTAAGGTAAAAACTCCATAGGTGTGAATCGTACTAGTCCTGAAATCATAACCTCCAGTTGGTATTGGGAGATGGGCTCCAGCGTGATTTGTGTTTGTATAATTAGCATTAACAGCACACATTTATTAGTGGATTAGCTGCCTAAAATCTCAGCAATTCACCCAAAGCGCGTCATAAGAAACAGCGCCTGTCTGAGCATGATTAAAATAGAATTAAAAAAACACCTGAAGCTGAAATATTTCTGTAGTCCTTTGCTTTGGAAAATAGATGTTAGAGGTAAATTAAATCAGAAATTGTAGAATCTCAGACTTGAACAGTACAGCAAGCTATTTTAATTTCTTTACTATTAGGAAATATGTTTGATTATTTGGATAAAAATAGTCTTTTTGGAGAAGACTGCAAAAATCCTAAACAAAATGCATTTAGACAGTTTCTTGTGAGTAAAAGGACACAAGAAAAAAAAGTTGCTTTTTAATTGACAATGCTATATATTGTGTGGTACAATATACAGAATAGCTAGTGAATTGTTCACTGTGACCACTGGCAGCCAGGACATAATCATTGATCAATTTTATAGCAAACTTGTTTTCCATAACAGAAGAGAGAAAGGAGAAGGCAATAGTACTTCCAACATGTGATTAGCAATCCTTCACTTCCTAGCACAGTTAATTCCAAAATGAGGAATTTTCCTTCATGTTCTGATTTTTTGGGGGCAAAATTAATTGTATTTTATTTTCTGTATTGATCTATTGCAGACATTGAGGACCTGCCACCATCAGTCCAGGAAAAACTGTTTGATGAGGTGCTTGATAGGGATGTACAGAAAGGTCAGCTGTTTAAGCTAATAATCTCTTATGTTTTTTTTTCTGATTCTCTATTTGTTTAAAGTTGTTGTGAATTATAGCTGAAATACCATCTTCCTCACTTGCTTATGAACCAGTAAATTGAATGAAGCATATGGTGGGGTGGGGGAGAAGAACCATGTACAGTGGGTTGGAATTCTCTCACTTTACTTCTGACCTTATAGCTTAAACAGAGTCTTTCTTCTCTATAAAGGACCTACAGTTAAAAAGAGAAGTGTTTAGGGAAGTGAGTTAAGACTGTCCAGTAAGTGGTTGCCCACAGCCCAAGTTAACTCAAATTTGCCTCTGAATTTCTAGTTTCATTTAGAAGTTGCAGGCATGATGGAGATTATTTCACAGATAAGCTCTACTTTATGAAATTGATGGTGAGACTGTCCTTAAACACTCCACTTCCTCTTTCACTAGTAGTTTGCAGAATTGCGCTTTTACTTTAATGAGTTTGTATTCTATGGTTGTTAGTTTGCAAAACATTGATAGTTGGCCCTCTACATTCCCCAGTATTAAATAGACATTCTATAAATGAAGAATATTTAGTGTGGTTGTATTTCCTTTGTACATTCTATGTTTGCTTAAAAAGGAACTTGACCTATGGGGAAGACATGTTGACACTATAATGAACTTTGCATTGAACTTGCATAATGGAGTAACTATGGAGTCTTTATTTAAGGTGGGAGCAGTACTTCGATCATTTAAATTTTCTGTTCACTTTCTCGACTATAGAATTGGAAGAGGAATCACCCATTATAAACTGGTCCTTGGAACTAGGAAGTCGCCTGGATAGTAGGCTCTATGCACTCTGGAACCGCACAGCAGGCGACTGCCTGCTTGATTCAGTGCTACAAGCCACATGGGGCATTTATGACAAAGATTCAGTTCTGCGGAAGGCTCTTCACGACAGCTTGCATGACTGCTCGCATTGGTACGACTTTCGTCTACAACTACAAGCATTTCTTCTTGCAAGCTTCTTTTGCCAGGCCCTAGCCTTTACAATGCTTTTGTATGTAGTTATTTTTTTCCTGATTTCCTGTTGATTTTAATCGATAAACAAATGTTTAACAGCAGCAGAACAACTAACTGTAATCTGACCATTACATTCTACTTACCGCAGTTTCTTTTCTCATCCGTTAGGTTTTATACACGTTGGAAGGAGTGGGAGTCTTGGTATTCCCAGAGCTTTGGTTTGCATTTTTCTTTGCGGGAGGAGCAATGGCAGGAGGACTGGGCGTTCATCCTGTCCCTTGCAAGTCAGGTAAACTATTACCTTCTAGATCCAATCCAATGAGCAGGAATTTCCAGTGAGCAGGAATTTCCGGCGAACAGTAATTACAGTGGCTTTTCTGGCATTTTTGTTGCTGCCTTTTTTTAGTGCTAGTAAATGCTGGTAATTGTTTGACTCCTGTCAGCAGAAGATGGCGAATAATCTAGCTTCTGCTTGCGGGATTCAAACAGAGTCAAAGTTGATATCCCCGATCATTGAAGGTTAAGAAGGATGGTGAGACAGGGAAGCACTAGGACAGGTGGACCGTCGAGAGTCTACACGCGAGTCCCGGGGAATATATATTTTTTTAAATTTTGTTTTGGTCCTGGTCCAGCGAGGTATGAATTGGGGATACCTAGAGTCCGGTAACACCGGGGTTTACTGTAACTTTGTTCACTTTTGAAAAATGTGGACAATTTGACTAATTTTCTGCAATGGAAGTTTCATGCAGAGCAGTGTTTTGTGTAAGGCAGCAGATATGAGCTTACCCCTGAGCTCAACTGATTCACGAGTTATTTTTGTTTGTGGTGGTTGGCTCAAGAATCCTACATGGTGTGGGCGGATTCTTGATTCAGCAGAGAGTAGGTGAATCTCTTAGTGCTTGGGTTAAAATGAAAATCTGTACCTCTCTAAGACTAAACTATACGGAATGCTTTCTGTTTCACATCTTATGTATCAAATAGTTTAACGTGATAATTTTTATTATTTTTATGGACTCCGTTCTGAGGTTCATGAATAACTGTGGCTGAAATCTTCAGGTAGTTTTTAAGCTAGGGTGGTCAGTAATCAGTTGTGTAACTAGTCATAAATATTTACCGTTTGAATTTTAAGATTTACTTGGACCAAAAAAATACTCTTGATTGTTTGTGTTAGCATCCGGATATATGCAGCAAACTGCCCAGGACAGTGCAGAATTCAGTGCTAAAATGAGTTTAGAGAATGAGATTTTGTTTTTCTGGATTCATTATTTGAAGCTGTATTGTCTATCTGTGCTCTTGTACTAATGTTGTACAGTGCTTTGTGGTAACTTGAAACTCGTAGTAATGATTTCTCAGTGATAGTGTAGACAGTGGAGTAGGACTTGCACGTGATTTAAAAAAGCAACAGCAGCAGCAAATTACATTTGTATAGCACCTTTCACGTTGCTAGACAGTCAAGGATTTGGACCCGAACAGGGGGTTGGGATCAGAAGTGGGGGAAGGCAGGGAGGATAGAAGGGTAGCCGAAGGCGTGGTCAAAGAGACTGGTCTTGAAGGAGGCACGGGAAGGAGTATGGTGAAGGGACTGGGGTGCAGTTCCAAAGGCTGGAGCAGATGGTAGGCTGGGTGGGACTCGTGGAACAGGCTGACTCATTATTGCTGTGCATTTGTTTCTTTGCTGATTTCAATCTATTTAGTTTGGATTTTGCTAATTGATTTACTGCTTCTGTTGTTCAGGTTTCATTTGAAAGAATTGTAATTCAATTAAGAAATGCACCACTAACGTATTGTATTTTCACAGTTGATCTTTGTGTCCCATTTGCTGTCGGTGAGCCACTTACTTGTATGAGCAGATTTTTTTTGTGAAAGTGGTTGCTTTTTTTTTAGAAAAATGGTTTATTCAGCGAACTGTTGACTTACTATTTCCTCCTCACTCTACACCAAGTAGAGATATTTGAGGGATTAAAGGGGAAAGAAAACTGTGTGGGAACCTTTTTTGTTCAAAATAGTCACAGTTAATGTACTTGGAAATCTATCTTTTATATTTATGTTAGCTCCCCCAGATTTCCCTTCTGCTTTGGCTGGACAGTTCTGAAGGGTGTCTGTGACTTAGAGAAGTTTTTGTATCCTTCAGGGACTCCATTTACTTCCATGGGAATGGACAGCTTTAGAAAGAGCACCCCAGGAAAGTGCAGCATCAACTGGGTATTGTTGCATATTTACTGGTGGAGTGCTTTCCTAGGATTGATGAATCCCAGGCTGCCATTAGCCTTCCAAATAAGTTAAATTGAACATGCTTTTTCTCTGGCTCCTTTTGGTCTGTGCTTTTATCCTGTAATCACTCTATTTCCTGTCATCTATATTTCACAGTAGATGATGGCAGTTTTTCTTTCACTTTGGTCCTCTGTAATTAGTAGTCATAGTAGGTGGTGACATCTTGAAGGGTATTCTATGCAGTTGATAGGACCAAAGCGACAGCTAATACAGATAGCTGATGCAGGCATAATGGGCTGAATGTCTGGGTTTTGTGCTGGAAAATTGTTTGATTTCTATGATGCTGGCAGTATTCTTTGTGAGCATCCCTTTACGTTTACCAGAATTAAACATGGAATATACTCAATATGTTATAATAATAATCCTTGCATTTGATATTGTGCTTTTCACGTCTTCTAAACGTCTCAAAGCGCTTCACAGAATAGACTGTAAAGTGAATTGACTTTATATTTTGTGGGTGAAACGTGGCAGCCAATTGTGCACAGCAGTGACCCACAAACTGTCATGGAAAATGACCAATTTATTATTATTTTTTTAAGGAATAATTACCCCCAGAAAAGCGATCAACCAATTGACTAACAACCGGGTTCCTACTTACTGCTAGGTAAACAGAGGTGTGTGGAATAAGGAAACTTGCCCAACATTAATTACGCCCTGCCCTAATCAAACCTAGAGTGAGTGCTCTAACCACTGAGCCACATGACTCCAAATGAATTGTAAATAGTTGCCTGAGAATACATTTGTCAAAGGCTGGCAGAGTGCAGCCATTGACATCTTACAAGCAGATGCCTCACAAATGTGATGCTGATAGCTGGGATTACATCTATTCATCTGATCCTTTCCTCCTACAGTGAAACTAGTTTCCCAGTAATCTGCTTTGCACCCATCTATTTAATAATTACAGCAGCGTGTTTTTGTAGGATAACAATCAAATCTGACCTATTGCCATGTCAGTGGAAGGATGATTTTTTTCATTATATGTTGCTGAGCATCAGAAAACTGTGTACTTGATCCCTGATGATTTAACTCTGTGACCTATTCATTTCCAAGAATAATTGAATGTGTGAATTGCAGGTAAATAACACGGGCCAGATTGCAGAGGCAATGTAGAGGAGAGCAATGATGCAGTGTTAAGAGTGATGGATTAGCTAGGGCTCTACAGGTTCAGAAACCTCTCAGAGAATATGTTATACAGGATTGTATATAATGCTAAGTGGGTTAGAGAAAGTGAACCCAGAACAATACTTTGGTATAATTCAAGGCAGAGAGCACATGTTTAGGGCTGCAATTTAGGACAGGTGTTTGGATCTTTTCTTTACGTGGAGAGAAATAAATGAAGGAATGAGATTCCAGAAAGGATAGTTGAATTTGGAGCACTGAATTAAATTGAATTTAAGAAACCACATAATGTGTAATGGGTACGTGTGAAGGATGAGATCAAATGGGTTGTAGGGCCCTCTTATTCTGAACCTCTGTTGATGCTAACTATGGAAATTTGTTTGTGTGTAGCTATTGTAGCACCACCCAGTGGCAAAGCTGTGGCTGCTCCAAAACTGTTGATCCCACTTGTGGAAATTGAGGCAAGAAAAATGGCCATTTCTTATTTTTAAACTTTTCTATGTCTGCAAGTGTGTGTGATTTTGGGAAGAAATATTTTATGCAAACTTTATTCTTTCAGCCTGGAGCCAGTCTGGAGCAGACACACATCTTTGTTCTGGCTCATATTCTTCGTCGACCAATTATAGTCTATGGAGTGAAGTACTATAAGAGTTTTCGCGGTGAGACTTTAGGATACACACGGTTTCAAGGTAAGGAATTTGTAATTATTTTGTCCTCCACCCCTCCTGATCCCAACCCCCTACTCAGGTCCAAAACCCTGACTGTCCAGTGCCTCGGAATGTCCTCCCAACACGAAAGGCGCTGTACAAATGTAATTTGTTGTTGTTTGCCACTTTTGCATAAACCCAAATGGAGAACTGTTCTAAACATTGCCTTTGAATATCTTGTGCCAATGTATTATATTTAGTGGTAACATTCCGGATATTTGAAATCAATATTTTTCCTTAGTAAAACCACTGAAATGCTTTGTGGTTGGTCTTGGCAAAGTCTAGTTCAGTTCTGCTCGTAGTAATTCAGCTATAAATATCCTGGAAGATCATAGGAATACTGGGCTGGTTTTGCTTGGGGATGAATTAAATGTGAATGGTGATAGTGTCTCATTTTAGAAAAAAAGACTAAATGTTCTGTGCTCTTTTATAGCTCAATAAATCTCAAATCAGCCGATTTACAGAATTATGTTTTATTCGTTTTTTGAAACTTCACTCCTGCTGTGCTCATTGAATGCATAGATGGCTGTTTTTCTTTTAAAGATCTTTTTTGTCAAGGTTTTGCAACTTCATCAGAAAGCTGGTAACTATTTTTGTTACGTGGGAGGATGGATGAAATTAATAGCAATATAAATACGTTGATTTTACAAATACTTTATTGGACCTGAGGCAGGAGCATTCTTTGGACATTGGGATTGATGAATGACAAAGTTGTGTGCCAATTGGCTGCTGTGTTTGCCAACAAATAGTCACTGCACTTCATAGTAATTTCTTATTGGAAAATACAGCTCATCTCAATCTTGTGTTTCAAAAAGTTTCAAAACTCTTATCGGAATTTAGCCCACAGATTTTATAAATCTTTATGCAGAAAAGCTTTGAAAAGCAAAATTTCTTTTCAACCAATGGGTAACATTTTCAAAGAAATCTTCTCAACATCACTCACTGTGCTGGACAAGTGTAACTGAACAATTGAAATATCAGATTAATAAGGCAATGAGATCACAGTTCACAAGTATTAAAACATTACTAAAATTTACGATTTAGCTCAAGAAAAGTATGGATTATCCAAGTATAAAAAAAGATAAAACAGAATACATCAGAAGTTGTGCTACAGTCATTGAATCATTCAGATATTCTGAATATTGTTGACCTGCTTTAAATGTTCATATTATATTTGAGCTGCTCAAGGCAAATTCCAGCTTCTAATACTTGGGTTTTGAGTTCTATTCTCGATTGTACTGTATTTTGCTTCAGTCCAAACTCTTTTTATTCCTTTTATCCCTTGTGATGCAGATTTTGCACATTTTGGAATACTTTTTTATGTTTTGTTTTCTGTTTTATATTGTATGGTGTCTGGATCACAGTTTGGGAACCTTTGAGGGGTCTTTGCTTTTCTTCTGGTTTGCATGGTTTCCACATAAACTTTTGAAAATGTTGAAGTGTAAAGGTAAAATATTTCAACTTTTAAAATACACTGCAACGAGAGAGAGAGATTCTGAGAACGAGATAACAAAATGTAGCTATCATGTTTGCGCAATGAAACACTTTGGTGCAATTCTCCGTCACTTATTCAAGCAGCTGATACATTGACTGCTCTGTATAATGTTTAATTAACAGTGCAAATCAATAGTTTCTATCCAGACTCCAGTACTTTTAAACTTTGTGTTGGTGTGTACTTTGTTGAGCTTCGCAAATCTTGAGTATTTTAGCACTTGTAAATGGTTGCCTCAGCAATATTTTAATAGACCCTTGAATGACGAATGGTATATCAAATCAAAGAAGTTTGCAATATTTACCGTGTGCTCAGTACTGTGAGTGGCGTGAAATTTGGACCCTCGTTTGGACTAAGCGCTCATTGTGTGAATTAAGAATTTCTAGTTTGGAAATGTGGTATTTGTAAAGTGTTTAAAAATACTGAATCCAGTTGTTAATCATGCCATCCTGTGAGAAACCTACTTCACTATCTCAGGGGTTCATTTTCATGCTAATTCTCCCTAATGGAACTTAGTCAGAGACTGCCAACTTTCTTAATCCCCTTTGTAACCTTGCGACCTTTAAATCACTTTGAAAATCCCTTTTCCAAAAACAAGACAATTTCCTTAACCTTTCTTTGTGATTTTAATTCTCAATATTTGAAGTCACCTAGGTTTTCACCACCGCACTTTTTCTAGGCCAAGAATAAATCACCTTTGAGAGATTAGATGACCTAAATGTGCACTAATTTAGATTTTCTAACTTGCTTTTAGATATCAACAATATCTATTGCCTTTTAATTTGTACTCTTATTTCTGCTAATATCATGGTCTGCATCTTACTGTAGCTGTGCACTGGGCTATTAGTTAGATTTATACTACATAACTCTCTTTTCGGATCCATATACCGAACTGGTACAATTTAATGAACTGCATTTCCTTGGTTCATCATGCCATTAATATCTTCACAATTCAAATGAATTAGTTAAGCATTTTTTATCACAATAAATGGTTCTGGGTGAAATTAGCATTGACTTAATAGTAGTTGAGCTTTTATAGGAACTAGCTGACTGCCATAATTCTAATGCTTTAAGCTAATTTTCAAGCAGTTGAAGCACTTGTAGTGCATCCAGATACGAATATAAGATGGAGATAGCAACCATAACTAGCCTGAATTTAATAGAGCCTGTAGCACTGGGGCCATGCTTGTCCTAATAAACTTCAACACTGCTTCACTAACGCAAACTCTTGGAACTCTATTAAGCCTTTAGTATGATGGTTATGGATTAATTCTTGGATATACCATATGGAACTGAGAATAGAAACTATTCCGTTCCAGTTGAGCCTTTGAGAATCTTATTCAGTATTCCTCCAAACTCCATAGCAAAGCTGAATCCGTATCTATCGTTGCTAATGTTGGATTAAATCTAACCTGGATGTATTTTTCTCCTTGTAGGTGTATACTTACCTTTGCTATGGGAGCAGAGTTTCTGTTGGAAGAGTCCAATAGCTCTGGGTTACACAAGGGGCCATTTTTCTGCATTGGTCGCTATGGAAAATGTTGGCTATGACAATCGAGGTGCTGGCGCCAACCTAAACACAGATGATGATGTCAACATTACCTTCTTACCACTGGTGGACAGTGAGAGGAAGCTACTGCACATCCACTTTCTTTCAGCCCATGAGGTGCGTACATTTCCTGTTGTGTTGTTAGACAACCTTGCAATTTTTTTTAGCTTTGCACTTGCTTTCTCAGATCATTGATGTTACTATAATGTACAGAAAGTGCCTATTATTGATCCATCAACATTTTTGTTGTTTGGTGCATTAAAGGGATTGTGGTTTCCTTCGTAATCCATCCCTGAAGCCTTATTATTCACGTGTGACTGCTTACTTGAACAGTTTGTTTCATGAAGATATACTTCATAAATGGATTGTTGTAATAAGTGGTTAGTGAAGGCTTCTAATTAAAAATGGCTGTTCTTGCATTGTTGGCAGAACAAGTCCCTGTAACATATTAGTTGGGCACAAATTTATGTTATCATCCCCAAGATGGTAAATCAACTCAAGAAAATAACAACCTGAGTGGAAATTCCTGATTATTTTAAAAAAAAGTTTTATTTTCATTTTGTAAATGTTTGAGATCCATAAAGTAGGTTGTGTTGCATAAGAAATCAGTGAAAATTAGGAGATTAATAATGGTGTAGATAATTTGCAAGTTGATCTATTCAAATGTGTTCTACAGATGGGTAATGAGGACCAGCAGGAGAAACTACTGAGAGAATGGCTTGACTGCTGTGTCACTGAAGGTGGAGTTCTGGTTGCACAGCAGAGGAGCTCTCGTCGGCGCAACCATCCGTTGGTAACGCAAATGGTGGAGAAATGGCTGGACCGCTATCGACAGATACGACCTTGCACTTCTCTGTCAGATGGTGAGGAAGATGAGGAGGAGGAGGATGAGTGACGGAAATCATCTGATGGAGGCACGGGCATTACTTCACTGGGAAGCCTGCAGATAGGACTCTTCTAGTTTGTCATGCATCATGGAAAGTTTGGATACCAAATAGAAGTCGTGTTGGAGGTCTGATCTCTGGCAACAAAAAGGCTGACGCGTTGTGCCATGTTGAAATCAGAACTGGCTTAGTTGGACTACAATAAACTATGAATGCTAAATTTACTTTAATGTTAAGAGAAAAAGGCTTTTTTCCCCCAAAATGTACATCCTTAGCTATAAATGTACTGCATGTGGTTGTGTAAGAACTTGTGTAATAGGGAAAAAAGTATACCAGCATCTAAAATAATTGAATTTATATTGGTTTCATAACGAGGGCACTTAAAAACTCATTTTAGATTCCTGTTTGTTCCTTCTAGATTTATTTTTATTATAGCCACTCATCTGTGGTCAATATTTTTAAAATACTTGTGCACATGTTCTCAGGGAAATCTTTTTATGCCAAATTGTGATGTTTTGGTGTTGGTGATGGTGTGTGTACTTTGATTTGAAGAATTCGGGGCATCATGCATGGCAAAAAAAACAAACAAACCCAAAAAGCCCCCGAGAACAAGTGCATGGATGATATTTTAAATGCAGTAGGTTTGAATACTATAATGAAGTAAAATCTGTAAGGAACAAAAGAGATGTTAGGTTGTGTTTGGAAAGTGTTCACCAAACTACTGTCTTTTTGTTTTTTGGGTTTTGTTTTTTTAAAAGAAAACTGTTATTCCGTAAAGTATGGACTCAACAAATTATTGTTTTCAAGTTCACAAAGACTGTACATGTTCTCAGCTCTTCACTAATGTTCACTACTGCAAACCTAGTTTAGCCCTGAAATTCTGCCAATGAATTCTGTTCTACTAAGCCTATTTATTTAAAGTGACCTGATGAGATGAGGTACTTTTTTTTCTCTCCCCTATAAAATTAAGTTCAGAACCAGTTGTGTGGATTTTGTTGATTGTTTACTCAACCCTGATGAAGAATTTCATGTTGCACAAATACATACTCTTGCTGTGAAAACTGTTGTTGAATGTGCTGTTGAGTTTTTTTTTGTCTATGCAAATACTGTGCATCACTGCTAAGCCAAAGTATTCCACTGAACAAGGGTATTATACTACAGTGAGTAAACTTGCTGCATAAAGAATTTAAAACCTGTCCATTTATGCAAATGGTTGTGTGTGTCTTGTTGAAAGTCTCCAATTCTTTTCAGCCCTGTTTTGGCTATTACACAAAGTAAAAGCCCAGAATATTGCTAAGATTAGAACCTTGATACAACTAGTTTATCATGAAAATCCTAAAGTTCACTACATTTCGCTGCATTTAACAGGTGTACAAATTAAACTGTTTGCAGACTTTAACTGGCATAATTTATTTGAAAAGCAATGTGTTAACGAAATTGGGAATCTGTAGAGGTAATTACAAGTGCAGAGGAGCATTTGATGGAATGCAAATTGACCACTCTTCCCAGCTGTGCGCAAATCATCGTCCCTTCAGTGGAGATGCACAATCTCCCCCAGTTTAGCTTGAAACCTGTACATTGTGAGAGTAGTAATGTTCAACACCAACAACAACAAATTGCACTTACATAGAGCCTTTCGCATAGGGAGGATATCCCAAGATGCTGGGCAGTGAAGGATTTGCACCCGACCTGGGGGTTGGAGTCGAGGGGTATAGAGCGGGGGTGGGGGGAGGTTTGGAAGATGACTAAAGGCACGGTCGAAGAGGAAGGTCTTTAGATGGGCCTTAATGGAGGCATGGGAGGGGTTGAGGTGGAGGGCTTCAGGGATGGAGTTCCAGAGGAGGGGTGGCTGGGACTAAAAGGCTGAAGGCCTGTCTGCCGATGGTGGAGGGAGCAGAAAGATTGGTAAATGTTTAGTTGTCACAGAGTTGGGGAGTAGCCAGACTGGAGAGCTTTGAAGGTGAGGATGTTGAATTTGATCCTCTGAGGGATGGGAATATATTGTAAAGAGGAGTGACTATTTTTCTGGATGAACTATGATGAGAGTTGTCCTGTGTTTCTCATCTACTCCCCTCTGGAATTTGACACAATTTCAATTTGTATTGACTTTCAATAGTCTAGTGTTTGTATTGAACACTTGTCAAATAATTTAATCTGAACTGTCTGTTCCTTCTCCTTAATGCTAAGATTGCATGTTTCTTCAGTTTGCCTTCATAACTCAGTTGCCTAATTCCAGCTGTCAGTTTTGTTGCCCTTCTGTGTACTCCTTCCAATTTCAAGATGCTGCTGTACTAAGTGACATGAATTGCAGGCAATACCGCAGGTAGGATACAAGGTCTGGTACTATGTGACACATGATCTTTCAGCTATACACTCCCAAGATATCTGCCTTATTCTGATTTCAGGGATTTACCACTTGTTTCCTCAGATCTCACCCGTGGTAGGATATCTCCTTAAGGTGGTGTACATTGATACTTGCTTAAGTTAATATCTGCACGCTTACGCAATTTTGAGTTGATGTGCAACTGATTCTCAAGGCTGTGACAGGAAAGCTTAGATATGTGACAAATGCTGTTTTACACGAGTTGTATGAATACATGCAGGAGTGCTTCGGCTCAGTTGCATTACATGTTCTGTGATGTGCGTTTTGAGAGGTGGTGTCTTATATACATATACTTTGTTCCTTTGGTATATTGTATCATGTGTTACAAGACTATTTTGTGTGATGTCAGTCTGAAACTTAACCAAATATGAGTCTAGATCCCATAAGAGCAGCTTGACTGATTGACTGACAATTATCGTATGAACATGAGCATTTAAATGCAGGGGAAGCAAAGGGTCTTTTTATGTATGAAATAGAGTGCAGTTTATTAGATCTAGATCTTCGCAAGTTATTTCTGGTTAAGGACAGGGAATATGGACTAAAGTTGTGCATTAAGTAATAAATTGACTAGCCCTTACAAAAAAAGTTCATCATATAAATATTATGCACATGAGGGCAGAAATGTAGGAAATGAGCAGATTGCTTCATAAGCAATATATGGCTATGTAAACCATGTATGTGAATGCATTATCACTTCTTAAAATAGCAAATGTAATTCACACTGAAGGTTATTCCAGCAAAAGTTTTAGAATATGATAGTTCATCTCTAGTTAATAATGTATCTTGCAACAGGGGAAAAATGAGCAAATATCTTACGTTGACACACACTGCATTTGATTTTCAAGTTAAAATTATTGCTTTGAATAACATCTGCAGGCTGAGACTTGCTCTGTCCCAGTGCAGTAAATGCTGACAATATGTTCAAACATTTGTGTCTGGCAGCAAAAAGTGGTCTCTGCACATTCTACACAAAGACTGAAGAAAACCCAGTAAACTACATAATCTTATTGAGTCTGGAGTTTTGTATTAAGCACAAGACAATTTCGAATGGGGCTACATGTTTTTATTAATAAAATGCATTTATAGCTATTTTTAACATCTGGCTTTGTCTGCCAGTATCCTGACATAAATAAAGCTTGGGTTCCTGTTGGATATCATTTGGATATAATTTAGCTTTTATAACTTGGTGTGGAAAATGAAAAGAAGACAATACCTTTAAGCTTTTTAACATTAACTTTTGAAACATTAACCATAAGGCCTAAAAAATAACTGAAACATTAGCTTTTACTAAGACCCATGAGAGAGGTCAGATGCTCAACTGTAAACTGAAGTACAAAATAACAAAAAAGTGAAGCATGCAAAGTATTATAACTGTTTTTCTGAGAGTACTTGATGAACTAATCAATCCCTCCGCCTTGCCCCCTCTCTCCCCTCTTCCAAGTCCCGCCTGAAAACTTTCTTCTTCGACTGTGCTTACGGCCACCTCCTCCCTCCCCCTGGCTCGGAGTCAGGCTCCGCCACTGTTAAAAGCACTCTGAGACGCTACCCCGTGTGGAGAGCGCTATATAAGTGCAACTTGTTGTTAATTGGTAAACACACTCATTGGAAGATTTGCTGCTTTAAGCTACATGACTGTTTGAAGTGATGAAATTCTGCATTAATATGCTGAGGTGCTTTTCTACACAAATTCATTGTCAGGAGAATATTTCCAAAAGTAGATTTTAATCCCCTTAATTTAAACTGCACAGAAACATTTTCTTTTGCGTTAGTACAGCTATTTACTCTCGTGTGTAATTCTGAATGTAAAGCATTTGAAAAACTAAATTGAAATGTGCCTGAGAAATGGCCTGATTTGCATTGACTTGCATTATTTAATGTAAACCTACAGTTGCAGGCTGATTAAAAGCTCTCGGCATGCATCAAGTACCTGAACTGAGTGATCTGAAATTAGACATGGTGATTGTGAATTCTGAGCAAATTTGATAAGTTGTCAAATATCCTTCATCTCTTTTATTCCGTGGGTTCTGGCTTGCAGTTAATAGGTCTTTTGTGTCTTTATTCCTATTTTCGTATTGCCTTCAAACAACTGCTCCATCTCATTTGTTCCTATAGCTAAACAGAAATTTGTTGCGTGCAATTAAACAAAGCCATTGGTGTCAAGTTGCAAGTAGCTTCATCTAAATGAATTAGAACAATGCCAATGTTGTCATTTAGAGTTGCGTCCAGGAAATTCCTTAGCATCATTTCCTGTGGTATACAAAATGTTCTTTCCCCTCCCTTTTAAAAATAAATGTATTTGGTGCTATTGTTCAGAAATAATGCAGATGCCCATGAAGTTCTGCAGCCTGGCAAGTTGAGAATTTGAGCTCATTTTCTAAGCTGATACTCCAATGCGGTGCTGGGGAAACCGCAACATTTTTAGAGGGGTTACCACATGGGTGAGTTTTTAAACCAAAGCCCTATCTGCCAGCTCAGGTGAACGTTAAAGAACCCGTGGCACTATTTGCAAGGAGAAGGTTTTCTTCTGGTGTTCTGCCCCCAGACACAATTGATCATTCACTTAACTTGTGGCACATATCAACTGCAAAAACGCTCTTGACAAAATGATTTACGGTACACATTGGTGACCTCAAACAAATCAACTTGATGAGTTAGACATGATCTACCCTTCACAAATCCATGCTGACTCTCTTTGATCAGCTCGTACTTTTTCTAGTACTGTGTTCCTCTTTCCTCAGTGATGGATTCTAGTATTCTTCCCACAAATGATATTAAACTGAGATCTGTAGTTAGCTGGTTTATTCCTCTCCTTAAATAATGGACTGGCATTTGCGATTTCCCAACTATAGCCTGACCTGCTGAGTGTTCCCAGCGACTTCTGTTTTTGTTTCAGATTTCCAGTATCTGCAGTATTTTGTGATTTGTGTCAGATCTTTGTGTCTACCATTTAATTTCTGTTTGCTTGACAAAAAGTGGCAGAAAAATTAAAAAGCCCCTTTATGATGGAGAGAGAGAGAACAAATGTGTTGTATAGTATGTATTCTCTTATCTTTTTCACCAGTCTTTTCTGGATTGCTGAATCATTATTAAAGAATGGTGTAGAGAAGGGTGGTAAAGAAACAGGGCAGGGAACTAAAAAGGGTGGGAGCTGAAATATGAGTTTGATGCGTCAATGAATGGAGTAAACAGGTTGAAATGTTAAAAAGATGCATGATTTTTTTCGGTGATGAAGTTAAACTGAGATTTGGCTTGTATGCGGATAGTGTGGGAATTAAACTAGCTACGCCCGACCCAATTTGGATAAGATGATGAATCTTTTTGGTATTTACATTTCGTTTGCATGACTGTTTGGGTTCAGTTATCCAGATACAGCATTTAAACATTGTGGCTCAGAAATGCCTCAGAATTTGAATCAATTCAACCACACAAACCATGTCAAATTGATCCAAACTGTCTGACTTGTTCAACTTGGCTTGAGAGGCGTATGGATGTCATCTCGCCCTGGCTGCGTTGCAGATGAATTGCTCTTTACATTTGTAACGATAGCAAAAAAAACAGCAGAATTGTTGGCCTCCTTATTAACTTTAAATTATTGTAGATTATTGCACTCAATGCAATGTCAGGGGAACATTGTATGAGTGCATGCGTATATGTTATTGGAAGATTTTATTTCCTGCTCTCTACTCCTAAGGTGTGAGTGGTGCAAAGCTCTCAGTATAACTTCTTGGGTACCTGTAAAAAAAAAAACTACGAGTTATACAATTAAACTGATGGCAGCTTCTTATAAATTTACAGCTCAAGGTGCCACAATACCAAAACAAAGGTTAGTATTACAATGATAAAGCATTCCATATGACAGTTTTTATTTCAGTCATATTCCTCAAAACCTGCAGTGAAAAGCAATTCTGAATAAAACTAAGATGTTAAATTTGTGCTCTTTCTATTGTCTAGTCATTATTTTTCAAATAACAGACCTAGAACAGTAAAGACTGAAATGTTAACCACATGGGTATGTTCAAGGTGAGCGAAAATGTCAAATGTGAGTTATTTGATAGACAGAGATCCATTTGATTGACAAGATACTTCAACTCGTACCACAAACACTGAATTCACACGTACTAGATTATAACACTGGTACATTACACTGTGATCAGATTGTTTGAGCCCCAGCATCACAAGAGTTAAAAGCACTGGCACAGTGGCAAAAGCCAGTCAAGATCTTTTGTCAAACATTTAGTTGGAAAATATTCAAGCCAGAACTAGTTTTGACGTAAATAGGATGTAAGCTTATACACCCTTCAATTCTGTAACAGGCTACACCCTGATCCCAAACTATATATGTATTATTCTGCCCAATCTTTTCATGAGTAACTCAATGATTCATTACTGTTGTTAGCAAGTTTTTTTTAATTAGTTCATTTTCAAACATGGTTGGTAATTAAAAGAATTCTACGTGTTATTGTGACTGTATAACTCATGAGAAAAAGAGCAATCTAGCAAGTAGGAGCAGTTTGGGGCTAACCTCATCGAAGACTTGACATGATTTGTACTTTGAAAGAGACACAGACAGGAAGGGTGATTAAGAGGAATGTCCAAAATAAATAGAAATACTGTATTGTATTCTATTTTACACTATTGTTGCATCCCATGAGAAAGATCAATATTACCATAATGTTAATACTCCAAAAGTATAACGTGAAAAAAAGGATATGTGTCATCTTGAATTGTTTTGAAAGTGTCTGCAGCTGAGTAGTTTAGTCCAGGAATATTTGGGTGAATCGATGACATCTAGTGGTCAAAAGCTGGACAGTTATTGCAAGTTTAAATGTACCTTTAAGGTATTTTGCCCTTCTTTTCATCTGTGGATGAGACACCCTGGGTCAGCATCAAGCCTGGCAGAGAGGCAGGTGGACAAATACTTTGTTTCAAACGATAGCATTCAAGAGGAAGCCAGACATTCACATGAGGGAGAGGGTAAATATAAGGGTACGTAAGGACAGGGAGGAAACTCGTGTGGAGTATGGACGTAGACTGGTTATGCCAAGTGGCTGAAACTGGAATCCTGTTGGCTGGAGAATCTTAGCCCCATTCAGTGAGCCACAGGCGCACGCATCTTTGCTGTTAACTCTGCAAGCTTTGACATGGTTTGAAAGTTCCCTCGTGCCCACGATGTTGACGGCAACCTGTTGAGAGGTATTTCTCGATTCGAGTCTGCCCAAAAGTGTATTTAGTTTTAATGAAAAATATTTTGCTGTTGCAACTGTCTTAGAAACAATTGACTTTTTGTCTCCCTCGCCAAGCACTTGACCACCTACTTTCTCAGGCTCCATCAACAGGCTCTTACTTGAACCAGGTATCAGTAAGCTTAGCAACAACAACAACAAATTGCATTTATATTGCGCTTTTCGTGTCGGGACAATGTGGAATGTCACAACCTGGGACAAAGCTCCATTCATGCTTTCCTGCAGGGAGGCAACTTTGACTCCTACTTTAACTGGTTCTTTTGACTTGATCCCTAAATTCATGTCTTCTCTATCCCTGCCCTCTCCAGATCGCTACTTTAATGGCCTTTCTTCATAAATTATTCCATGTACGTGTTATCTGACTTCTGCCTGACTTTCCTTTTTACAATTAACTTGGTTTTATAACTGATGTCCCCAGGTGTTTTGAGATCCTTTACACACAAATTGAACAATTTGTCTGGATCAATGCAGTCAGTCCCCTTTTCATAACCTCAAAAACTTAAATTAGGTCACCTCAATAATGGCTCTTTTCCAAAGAGAGCAAGTGCGTCTGTCTTCCTCATAACATTCCTGATGTGTGGAATTCATTCTCTCAAGGCTAATAATACCTTTGTATGATTTAATGAAACAAACTGGAAGACAATGCTCCAGATCAGGTTGAACAAGGATCTTATAACTTGGCTTTTTTCCTTTTTCAATTTGACTCAATACCTCATTTTAAAAATTGCCTGCTGGTTTTACACATTTATGTACAATAACCACTCGTCTCATTCCTAATCAGCACGTGAATAACTGATCCTTTTAGTATCTTCCCTCTTTTACTTCCTCCCTCACGTCCTCTTTATTTAACACTGTTCGCAATTGTCTGCTGCATTTTGCCCACAAAATATAGTCAATTCACTTTACAGTATATGCTGTAAAGCACTTTGAGGTCTCGAAGATGTGAAAAGGTGCTATGGCAAATGTAAGGATTATTATTATTATTACTGTTCCAGTTCCATAATAATCCTTACATTTAATAATAATTCCATAAAACCTTGAATCTGAATTTGCCTCCAATTTGGTATAACCTGAAACACAAACATTACTGAACTACTCAAATCATGAGTGCATATATCTAATTCCCACTTGAATTTGCTGACATAATCTGCCTCCACTGGGCAGTTCCTTCCATATTTTCACCACCTTCTGCAGAAAATGAATAGATGTTTAAAAGAGAGACAGATCTCTGGGTAGTTGAGGTAATAATACTTACATTCGGGGTCAGATTCTGCCACTGCGATGTGCTCCAGGACACTATCCAATGTAAAGGGCACTATATAAATGCAAGTTGTTTTGCCCCTTTCATGCTGGGAGAACGTCCGAAAGTGCTTCACAGTAAAGTGGAGTGACTGTATTTTGTGGGAGAACAGTTTTAGGAGGTTTGGTGGAAGAGCGAAGTATTGGGACTAAAAGATAGGACAGATCTGACAAACTATTCTCACATGTTCCTCCATCTAAAACTGTCCATTTACCTTCTCTCTTCTATGCTGGAGTATAGCGATAAAACACCCCAAAATCTTCCAGGTTGAAAAACAGCAAAACGTGCTTAATGCAAAGTGAGAAAAGTTGACCTGGTTTGAGGAGTGGACTGATCTGAAACATTCCTTGTTAGAACATGCACCGGCATCAATGAACATTCAATAGTAACACACACGCAAATAATACTTGGAATATTTTTAATTCTTTATATTTTCCACTGTTAACACAAATTGTTGAAGAAATATAGAAAGATTGACTTCTTTTTTTTAAAAAAAAATGATTTTACCTGCAATTGGAAACCATCACTGCACAGCTACCGAAAAACGTTTCAAGTGAAAAAGGTTTAACACAAGTCATGTTAACCCAACATGGCTGCACACAACATCTGACCAACAGAACAGCAAGTTTTATGACGTACAATTTAACAAACTGTAATAAAGCGCTTTCTAGATAAATGATAACACTTCAGCCTAAAAGAAAGTCTAAACAAAGTTTTTCACACACAAATACATTTGATCTCCATCACTGGGTGATGACCCACCTTATATGGGGTATGTTTATATCCACACAGAAATTTCTCTCTCCCCTCCTCTTCTCCTCCCCCCCCCCTCCGCAGTAACTCAGCAATGGTATGCGCTTCCACAGATTCACGGAAATGACCAGACACTGTATCTTAGTGTGTTTTTTAAACTTTGTAACCTACACACGAGAGATGTCTGATCTCTGTAAATAGTGGAATCACGATAAACACGGGTGTTGTTTGGATCAGGATTTTTCTTGCGTTATAATGTGCAATTCTACCTCAGCTCACTTATCATTCACTCAGCAATCGATTTTCAAAAAAAAATAGACACAAAACACTGCTATTTGCAAACAAACAAAAGCTGTCTTTTACAAGAAACTGTTCATGTAACATGAGCTGCTGTTTTTAAGTGAAATCAGGCAATGCATTTGATGATATCCAGTGTGATGAGCATTAAAATGTAATTCAGAGTGGGAATGTTTATGCATGGATTAGAATTATGCTTGGAGAGTAGATCGATCTGGATTGATTCTATGTAACAGGAGTTAATGGGAAGGGATGTGTAAAATTCCTTCTATGCTTGGGTCAGGTATAAATTTACTTAACAGTGAATGAAACAGCTAATCAGTCTGTTCTGTAGAACTCTTGTACTGGAAGAGCATCCACTCTAATTAACCACACCACACAGATCTGCACTGGGTGCCACATCCCTCATTACAGTTCGTCGTCTTAGACAGCCTGATTGTGGTCTAATAATAAGAAAATGCACTGATGTTGCACATAGGACTAAGACTATGGGAATATAATAGACTCAGATGTCTAGACAAAACACATTTGATGCGAGTTTATATAAAAATGTCACATCGTGAAATAAAAGAACATTTTTTGTGTGTTCAAGAAATGGGAGCCTTTGAGGAACAAATGTTTAAAGTCAAACTTGCTGACAAATCATACAAAAGGGTTTGTTCCTGAGATGAAGGGAAACGCTTCAAGCTACCTCACTATTAAGATTGCACACCTAAGGCTACCATTTTCTGTCAAGAACACGTTTCACTCTCGTCACCTATAAAACACTTATCTCAAATGATATAAGAAAAAAATCTACCCAGCAAAGTCTCATGATAAACAGATAAAAGATATGAAGGAACATAGAGCACATTTATCAATGGGGACATTTCATCAGAAAACACACTTTTCAAAATACTTCTTAGTTTCTGTTGAGTGAAGGGAGTTCTTTTGGGTTGAATGCAGCCTTTATCCCCATCCACGGATAACACTGTAACATCCCAAACTGGCAGCTGTAAAGAGTACAAATTCTTCAAAGAGTTTCAGGTCTCAATTATCCTATAAATATTCCATTTTTATAATGATACTTTCAGTGTCTCTTGGTCCCAACCTTGTTACTGGACAAGCTCTGTAATCCACTATTGCTCAGAGGCATGCTCTCTGTCGCTCTCATGTTTTGTGGGTTGATTGGGAGATGGAGTGTGAGAAGGATGGACCACTGCAGGAAGGTTATGGGAGACAGGTACCCCCCCGGGGACCATTCCCTCCAGGGAAGCAGGGATTCCTGCAGTTGCTACGCCTACTATGCCAGGAGGGTACCTACAAGAGAGGATGAGAAAAGGTCGATGAACACAGAACACCCAGGAGGTTTTGGAACAACCTGAACCAAATTCTCATTTGCCATTGATTCTCTGGCTGGCAGTGCTTTTTCTCTATGTCTTAGTCAATGATAAACTCGGAAATCACATCGTAGAAACCAATATAACATTTCTGTTTCAATCTCTACCCCTGTGTACCCTTAAGAGAGAAAATAAAAATCCATATTCCAGACAACTGGATTCTAGATACAGACATCACACACCGATAGCCTAGCATTACTGAAATAAAAGTTAAGCATTCTGTCTTGTCAATTGAAAAGTAGTTTAAAGGCAGTTTTCTTTTCCACTTACCTTACACCAGCTATATAGTGCTTTAGAGAGATGGTTAACAGCCTTTTCTGCCCACTTGAAGTCAGGAGGCTGCCTGCAGCTGGCTGAAATACATGGCAAACTTCAAATATCAACACAAGAGGGGCTTTTTAAAGCAGGAGTACTTTAAATCTGCTATTGGTTAAACAGAAAAAGGAGTTTGTCTGGTGCTAAAGGCCATTGTGCACTCTGTGCTGAGAGAAAACCCAAACTAAATGCACAGAACTCCTTGATTCTAATTTTTCAGCCAGCAAAATGATAACCTCTTGATGTCAGTCAGCTGTTAACCATCTCTCCAAAGCTTTAGGTTCCCAGGCTAGCAGAACACGCCTGAAATTCTGACAGCTAATGGATCCCTGATTGAAACCCAGTTGCTGAAATTCTCAAAACTCTCAACTCAAAGCTTTACATTTTATTGGCATCTGAATTCCACTCCCTTCATTTAATATGAATTGGTTTCTGAATGATGTCATGAGCTGAAGAAATACTGCAATGTGGCTGGCAGATACACTGAAAGAGGTACAGTAAGCCTAACACTGAGATCAATGTGACTGTAATCCTTAAGAGGGAGATGAGTATTACTGTAAACCTTAAGGGGAGATCAGTGTGACTGTCAGGCTCAAAGGGAGATCAAGGCAACTATGAAACTCAAGGGGAGACCCATTAATGGGGTTTATTCTGTAAGATTTTCTAAAAGATTTGTAGATAACAAATGCTGCAGGCACCCTGTGGAACACTGCTTAGACAGCAAGCTGTTGCGATTTCCGTAACGCCAGGTTGCATTCAACGGAGGTTTTTGATGCCCGGAGAGAGGTAGTTATGTTGCCCAACATTGAAGTGAAGTTCCAGGGGGTCGAGCTGAGACCCATCCAGGTGTCGGCAGAATTCGCTACTTGCAAATTCTATTTGAAATCTGACAAATTAGGCGCTGAATAAACGTCATGGTAAAACTGCAGAAATGTTACGGTAAAACTTAATGCGCAAACTGGATTCAAAACCTCCCAACCATACAGGAACATTCAGCCCATTGAGTCTGTTCTACCAGTTTTAGATTTCGTAGATCTTTTAATCCTAACATCCCTCATTTTCATTATATTTTCACTGCCCAAATATCTTTTAATTTCCATTACTTGTCAGAATTTCAATTTGGCATTAATAACATTGGGTGGAAACTTAGTTCCACACTGCCCACAGGTAAATCAAAATGTTTCACTTTTGAAGCATTATTTTATTATGTGATAGATAAAATGGTCAAACTTAGCACAAGGAATTAAGCACTGAATTCTGTGCATTGAACTTGCGGTTTGATGTTTTCGTTTTAATTGAAGGCTAGCTATAATTTATATAGTTAGTCACAGATATAAAAAGGGAAAACCATCTCAGAAATATTTTGTTTTCAATCATTACTTTGGCTTGATGTATTTTGAAAAATATGTATTTTTATCCGGCAAATCTCGAGTTTTCTCTTAGAAAAATGAGTGCAATTCTGACCTTAGGGGGGATAGGAAAGGAATTATGGAGGCACTAAGGACAGCAGGTTGAAGCTGTAAAGCATTGCAACTACTGGGTTACTACAGGAGAGCATTCTGATAAGTAAGCGATCTACAGTTTTCCAACAAGAGTCTGCTTATCCTTGTTTGTGTCGTCCATTATTCAGTGTCACCTCTTTAGGTCACTCACTCTTCCACCACAGAACATCCTCTTTCAGCCTTGAGACTGGCAGCAGGCTGTGGGGATGTGAACTGCTCCTTGTCATTCAATGGTTACGGCACAGGGTTCATCCAGTTAGTTATTCCTTTGCCCAAAACTGAGTGTTTCACTGCCATCCTAAATGACTGTCAAAGTTGTTACTCTGACTCAAGATCTTCCAGATTATGACCAGTCAGTCAGCCAGCTACAGGCACAAGACCACAAGGCCTAGCTTTAATTAACGGAAAAGGGAGCAGGTTATAATGTTCCAGCTTTTCAGAAGCAGAAGGCTCTCTTTTCAATCTACACATCAAATCTCATTATTTCATAACGGCAATACTTCCACTGGATGGGACGTCAAAGTCAAGAGATGCCAATGGAGTATTCCAATAATGTCACCTCATTACATGTGAATTTGAATCCAAATAATAGTCAAGAAATAAATATTGCTGCTAAAGTCTCCTGTGCACCAGCAGCTGATATTGAGGACGTACCAACAAGTCACTCAGTCTCTGACAATGCTTCATGTGATATGTTAGTTTCTGTGATAACAATCCTGCAGATAATTGCACACTCTCAGAACGATATTCCTCCATCTAGTACAGATCACAGCAATTCACATTTCTCATTCAATAAAGGATGAATGGATGGATGCACAAACGGATATCTGTGCTGTTTACTGTGGTGACAGATACTGTGCTGTGGTGACAGATACGGATTTGGGAACGCCGCTGTGAGAGGTGGCCTGGGAGTCTCTGGATGAAGAGCAATACCATGCTTCCTTTCACAGAGCCGGAATGTAAATGCTGCGCCTCACCAGTTTCCCAGCTTGTCTAAGCCTACTGGACAACATTTACCAGTTCTTGGCTGGACCCCAATTTGAAAGGATTTGTGTTTATGAAGCAGCCTGTCTCAGGAGGCAAACATTCATTCTGCCCCTAAAATCCACATCTATTCTTAGACGACACCGAAGAGGTATTTAATGGCCCGATTGGAGCATTTCCTACAAACCAGCACTTCCTACAAACTGAAGGAAGACAGCATGGAGGCGAGATGGTACAATTGGCTTCGTGATAAAAATAAGAATACTTGGTAGAGAAAGGAGCTAATTTTAATTTCTAAGTAAGTGTTATATCTACTCTGAAATGTACTTTATACAAGTTACTTGGTGTAAATTGTATCTCTGCGACACACTGGAGAGCATTACCGGGAGGGTGTCAACTGGCCTCAATACTCCCTGGGTTAACAATGGGCAAAATTGTCTCGGTTTCCTGCTCTTGATGGCAATCCAGTGACACCTGCTGGGAGAGCACGTATGATGACGGTGCGGGGAGAAGGCCAGAACCGCAGCGAGCTCAGCTACCAACAACTCCTGTGGCTGAAAGGCTGGCCGACACGGCTGACAAACGAATAACGGCCAGTTGAGTGAGTTACCAAAGGAGCGTCTGACGCCTTTGGAGCTGTACTCCGACAGAAGGAAGAAAAAGAAGCCAAACACATTCAAGCGTGGGGGAAGAGGAGGGGAATTGGGTGAGAGATAAACAATTTGTTGATGCATCTTATCTTCCTACCTGTAGGTGGCCCCATTGAGCTCTGGATGGACAGCCTGCTGGTCCATTGTTGGCCAGCCAGCAGTTGTGACAAAGTAATCCTTATTTACACAGTTTCTCAAGCTGTCGGGGATGCGGCCTAGAGCGGGCGGACAGGAAAGAAAGGCAGGGGGATTATAACGAGCAAAGCAGAACTCTAATCGTAAAGGAAGGGTCAACTTCTGTTGTAATTGTTTACCTCCACACACTCTTAATTACTCAAGTACCACCCTCCCTCTCTACATAACTGACCGGGTCCTTACAAACCCTCAATGCACTGCTACACACACACACACACACACACATATTCACTAAACTGGTAAACTTATTGCTCATTTTCACAACCGCACATCAAACTGTTAAGATTGCTCCTTAAAGTAGGTCTAAGGCTCCCTTCGAAACTCTGCCCCTGACAAGATCCCAAGGAGCACTGAGAACCACTGTAAACCAGATGCTTTACTTGGGTGCAACAGAAAGCAGCAGCATTCATTTCAGGATGGGGCAGAATGTAGACACAGCCCGTGAAAGGCATAAACAAACCACTGTTGCTTCTTGGCAGTGCCGTGGACTGTAAGTAGGGTGTATCCCTCTGGGGAAAGAGTGCGCATTCCATTCCAGACAAAGGGAAATCTCGAAGCATCTGTGGCATGCAGATGCAGATTCAGTCTGGGTTCAATACTCTTATAAAGGGTGGCGATAAACTTTATAGGTGTCTGACACACAGGTGACGCCTGGCTGACCCAAAAATAACTGAGCATGTTGCCAATCCGTACAGGCCAGTATTAGGGTTTGCCTGTTACAGGTCTTCCACAGCCTATCTTGCCTGTCTCTTGATCGCTTATACTGAAGAAAGATGTAATACTAGGAGTGGAATAGCTTCCGGCTCAAACCAGCAGGTTCTAAAAATTGAAAGTCAGCAGGCCACAACAGAACCTTAAAAGGACTTGTAGAAAACTGCAAAATCGAGACTGAATTCAACAAGTTGCTAAATTCTGGAACGTTTTGTGAAATGCTATGTAAATAGAGTAAATCTAGAGCCAGAAGGACCTGCTCTGAAGGCATCTGCTTCACCATCGCTGGGAAAAGCCACCCCACATTATAAACCAGGTGAATATCCTCTCCATGTTACAGTAGTATAGATTCAAGAGAAAGCAAAAGGTCCGAACAATTAAAGCATGTCTCAACGAAGGGTCAAACAGCGGGATCTGTCACAAACCTTACTCAGAATTCCAAATCTACCCGAGGTCTGGTTGGCAAAGTGAGCTCCACCGCCCAGTCCGTCTCCAGATACCCGCTTATCTCATGGAAACCAACTGTGGACACTTGAAGAGGCCCTGTACATACAAAGAGGGCATCAGTGCCAGGCAGTCTGACCTGTAATTGCCCTGCGGATCTCAGTGGCTGCTGCTTCCCGCATCTCCAGAGACGCCTGCTCACTGTACCAGGATGTGTGTGGGGTGCAGATCAGGTTGGGAGCATCCTTCAGTGGTCCTTGGGTAAAACTACATTGGAATAAAGACAATGGTTAATCTTACTGTCTCAAATAAACACGGGGAAAACTCAGTAGAGATGCACACAGACGGTCACAACCACCAAACCAGCCTCTGCAATGAAATCCAACTCACTGAGGCACAATTTGCCCTGGATTTTCATTTTTTAAACACAAACAGATTTTTAAAACAATATATACAATCTTTGACATGAAACCAGATGCAGTCAACATTTCTAATAATGAGACTGGTAACCAAGTAATGAGTTTTCTTTCCCCCAGAAAGCCAAGATAAATTGAGGAATAGAACAATTTATGGCTTGAATTATTAAACCTGTCACAACTCAGTTCAAATATATCCACTCATAAATTCTATCTCTCTTCTTGGAAGTTTGAGGTCAGGAGTTCATCCCACAATGATGCTCTTTTTGCGACAAATTCCTGCTATAACAAACCTTCCTGGAATTGACTATTTTATATTTTACTGAGGTTGCAATGAAAGATCCACTCACTTCCCCCAACAAAGCGTGAGTGTGATGTCTGAGGCCGTTTCAACAACAACAAAATTACATTTGTTTAGCGCCTTTTACATCAGGAGGACGTCCAAGGCACTGGACAGACAGAGTTTCGGGCCTCAGCTGGGGGTCGGGGTGGGTGGAGGGCAGAGGTGGAAGGCACGGTCGAAGAAATGAGATGGGTCTTGAAGGTGGCAAGGGAGGGGCGAGGCGGAGGGACCGTGGGATGGAGTTGCAGAGGGTGGGGGCAGAGTGGCAGAAGGCCCTCCAGCCAATAGTGGGGTGGGCGAGGCGGGGGACGTGAAGCAGGCCGTAGCCCGCTGAGCGGAGGGAGCGTGCAGGATGATAGGGGGTTAGGAGGTCACAGAGGTAAGGGGGAGCAAGACCATGGATTCCTGTCAACACTGCAGCTCTGAGAAAAACAATTGGGGTGGGGGCAGAAAATGTGACGTGGTATTATCATCTGGATCTAAAGCGAGATCAAAAGCAGTCAACAGGTATCTCAAACCAGTGGTAAACAGTGTTTGAATCTATAAAATTAGACTACGTGTTGCAACAAAGCCCTTGAAAAAAATAAGCCTTAATCTTGATTCTGGGCTGTCAGTTTGCTCCAAATGTCATTTCTGGCTCCCGAAGTGGACCGGCCTGAAGACCTTTGTATTGACAAGATTGTTGGTCTGTGTGATAATTATCACTGACTGGAGATACCACCAGTCATATCCCCTCAGGCATATGTAGGAGGATGGCCAATGGCACAGTCGAAGAGTGGGGTCTTGAGATTTGCTTTGAAGGAGGCAAGGGAGGGTGCGAGGCGAAGGGAATGTGGGATGGAATTCCAGAGGGTGAGGGCAGAGAGGTTGAAAGCTTGACCATTGATAGTGGGGTGGGCCGTGCGGGGGACATGGAGTCTGCTGAGCGGAGGGAGCAGACAGGTTGATAAGGGGATGGCAGGTCGGAAAGGTAGGAGGATGCAAATCTGTGGGGACCTTGAAGGTGAGGACGAGGATTTTGAACTCAATCCTCTGAGGGATGGGGATTCTGTGGAGCCGGGTAAGGGTGGGTCTGATGAGGTCACGGAGCCTAATGCGGGAGAGGACATCAGTTGCAGAGTTCTGGATGAACTGCAGCTTGTGAAGGGAAGAGTTGGAAGGCCGACAAGCAGGGAGTTGGCACAGTCGAGCCTAGTTGTAATGAAGACATGAAGACATAGAGAGAATAATGGATGTTTGGAAGTGATTACAAGGCACTCATTCTAATCCTAGATAAGATCATAAACTAGAAGAGCAAAGCTTGAGCAATTTCTATCCATCGTCTCAAATACTGGATTCATACTTCTTTGAAATCACTTCTGCATATCGTTTTTTTAATAACATATGTAAGAAAGAGCTTTTTTTTTAATAGCGCATTATCACGATTGCAATGTCTTGAAGAAATGCTTCACACACAAAAGGATTGTTTTTCTAAGCAAACAGATTTGCCTGAAACATCCCCCAAAACAGCCAATGAAGTAAATCACCAATTAATGTGGAGAAACTGTCTTTGTCTTTCAAATTATATCATTGGATCATGCAGATCTACCAGACGAAACAAGCTCATGGGATTTCAGTTTAGTGTCTCATCCCACAGACAGCATTTCTGACTCAAGGAGTCAAGATTAACTGCCGAGTGAGTCAAACATTCTGGTCTCTATACTAGATCCTGGATACTACTATGGGCTGTTTCGCCAACACTATCAAACAGCATTTGGTCCATTTACTTCTTTAGGAAGTTTTTCAAGAGCAATGATTGTACTGAAATTGCACATTTTTTCCACCAATTTTGTTGTAGCTAAAATCATGTGGTTCATTTCCTCCATCCATCTCCCTTCGTGGAGTCCTGTAGCTCAGTGGTTAGAGCACTCGCTTTGCAAGCGAGAGACCTGAGTTCAGTTCCAGGCAGAGGGCGAAACCTTGGGCAAGTTTCCTTACTCCAAACGCCTAATAATAATCCCTCCAAAACCAAAAACAATAATAAATTGGTCATTTTCAATCCATGACTGTTTGTGGGACATTGCTGTGCACAATTGGCTGCCGCGTTTCGCCCATAAATATACAGTCAATTCACTTTACAGTATATTCTGTGAAGCGCTTTGGGACGTCCTCCCGACGTGAAAAGCGCTATATCAAATGCAAGGATTATTATTATTATTATTATTATTATAAGCATCATCAGTCAGTGAAGTTCCCCAATGCTGACATGAGACCCTGAATCAACAGATGCTAGTAATCACCAGCTACAGCTGAACATGGTCCCTGGAGAAGAGAAGGTTAATGTAGGAAAGGTCCACCTCACGTGATTTGGGGGGACTAATATGCCTTGATTCATAAAAGTATTTGCAAAAATAAAAGGTTGCATGTACTGGGATATGTCTAATGTCAATCCACTGGGATTCCTCTTGGGCACAGTTTCATTTCCTCTCTAACTTCAGTGAAGTCTGATGGTGAGTAAAGGAGCCTTTTGGCCCCAGGCAGGAGATCACTGTCAGCCTGGAGTTCCAGTGCGTTGTCACTAGACACCTGCATGACAGGCACCTGCAGGATTCTACATTTAGAAATCCTTTTACAAATCATCGAAACGAATATTACAGCCCTGCCACAAACCCTCACGCACTTTGGATGTTACATTTTGGAAAGTCTCGTCTTGTGGGTTGTTTCAATTGATATGCGTGGATCTCATGACCCAGTTGACAAGATATATCTTCGTCTCGCTGCCCAGGCATAAATGTCAGATATAACATTTAGAGCAACTGCTTAGCAACCTGGGATGCCGACTGGCATCTCTTCCTCTTTACAGTGCAGTTGAACTCACAGGAGTCACAAAGCATTAACAGGTCATCCAGATGGATGTAGAACTGTGGTGGCATCGGGCTTTGTTCCCCTGGTCTCCTTCAGATCATTACAGCAGGTTATTACAGGCTGAGACAGTCCTCGACTGAGCATTGTCACAACATGCTTAAAGGGTGACTAACTGATATATTTGTCGTTATGCTGAAGTAGCTCAGGAGCAGCATTTCAGCAACTCAGGATCCGATGGGAACTTTATATTTTTACTGCAATGGAATATCCTGAGGTCCAGGTTCTATGGGATGGGCCCTGTTTACACTACACCAGGAGCAAAGTTCCTCTGGACTGCTGAGCTGCACTTCCTGTTCCCTACTTGTGGCTTGGGGGCCTTATTAATTAATCAATCACTGCATTTTAGATTGATTAGCTCTGGCAATGGGGTCACTACACTTTCACCACTACACTTTCTGCTGTATAACTTAATTGAATCTGCGGTACAAAAATGTCAAAGAAATTGTGCCCCTCAGGCTCCCACAGTATGTGTGCAAAGAGCATGAAGGACGAATTTAACATTCACTTTCAGAAAGAAACCGTCATTCTCAGTCATCTCTGACTGATTCTAGATAATGCGTGGGCTTTGACCTCAAGATTGTACCTGGCTCATCAGTGACACTAAGAGATGTGGACATGCACTCAACCTCACAAGCCAAAGCCCTGATTGATAGTGGAATCCAATCCGGACAAGTTACTGGGCTGCTAAGTTACAAAAATTCCTGCTGAAGTCAGGAATATCAAGTAGGACGCTCAGGTTTCTGGATAAAATAACATACACTACTCCTATCTGTGTGCGATTTTCAGCACACATTTATTTCTTAAAGAAGTTATGTGAACAAACAATCAAGTCTGACCCATATTAGGTGCAATTGACAATCTCGAGTAAAATAAATATAACTCACACCAAAAAAAAATTGCAAATGACCTTTTACCTTATACACCATCAAAATATGGTGTCACGTTTCTATAGAAACAAATGTCAAATCAGGATCAGGTTTAGTGGTAGAGAGGCCGTAGGGTTTAAAAAGCAAAAACAAATATTAAGTGCTCTCCGCTAAACTGCAATGTAAACATACAGAGGATACTGGATAGGTGGGAATGCCTTATAAAGGGGTTCGTGAAAAAAGATCTTCCCCGATGGCTCAATGAGTTTATCAATTGAATAAGCTGTATGAAAAGATCCGAAAGGTACGTGGTTCAATCCTACCTGAGCTGTGTTAACTCAGTCTTAATTGGAGCTGCAGTACAGATGCAAGTGAATGAATAGGCTCCTTTGATTAAGGAGGGAAAAACATCAGCCAAAGTTTCCTGTGACATGTGCTGGAGGTAGAGCTCGTACGGATGTCAAGCAATGACAGGATCAGGCTTCATTGCAATCTCCTCGACAGTCATTTAGATTGCTTACATTGTCTAGGTTCACACCCAAAGAATGGCCATTTGACCAAAGTACTGAAGAGTGTTGAGCATCTGTGCATTCATACCCCAGTAGAGGCAAACAGAAGTCCTTACAAGATCAGGTGAGGGGGAGGGGGGGGATGCAGGACTACCAGAGAAAATTGATTAAAAAATTTAAATGAGTTAAATTATATTACTGAAAGTCGCTTCAGATTAGCAATCTGAAGCCTGAGATTGGATTACTATGTATTACTGTCACCCAGCCTGGCCAGCAATTTTTATATCATATGAATTTTCTTTCCTAATATTCTGTTCAAAATATGTCACAGAATATTAGATTAGAGACATGAAATAACACAGGATTTTGTATAATAAAGGCTGTTCGCTTTAGGCGTACTAACATCTAAAGTCAATACAATGCAATACTGAATGATTTTATCATTGGATTCAAATTTGTATTGTAAAATTGTAATCTCTGGTGACTTGTATTCCTTACCTGAAGGGCTCACTCTCATGCACATCAAGGGCAGCACCTCGTATCCTTCCCTCTTTCAGGCCCTGAGATAAAGCCTTCTCATCGACCAGCCCTCCCCGGGCCGTGTTTACCAGGAATGCGCCCTGCCTCATCTGAGGGATGAACAAGAGAAGCAAAGGATTGATACTATCGACCATGTGGACTGGGCTCCCTGGTCGCAGGGTTTCCTCGTTCACTCGGGGTGAAATCTCACAAATTTAGAATCTGTCCAACAATCTTTGTAAAAACAGTTCAGATGAAGAAAGCCCTTCGGCCCACTTGACTCCATCATGACTTCCACATGAACCATTTAGGAAACAGATCAATGCTGCAAGGAGAGTATCCACCCTATGATCTTCCCATTACAACATCAAGCTGTTTCTTGTAAACAAGTCCAGCGACTGGGCCTGAACCACACTTCCCTCTGTCTAGACAAATGACCATTTGTCCCGCTGCCTTGGTACAACTGGAAGTGTTGTATTGGCTTCACTTTAGAAGTTGACCAAATTTTAATACGCCAGAATAGTGCACGCACAAAGATGATGTCTTTAGGAAGTGATTCTGTAGCGCTCAATCTGAGCCTGTTCTGATTCCTCAATGTTTTGAAGTTTAATAACATTGATTAACTGTGTGTAAAAATGTAGAAGAGAAGTTTCATTAACTCTATTTATCACCATTTTGGCATGTCCAGGGTTTGGCAATTCTTACAATAGAGCCTTGACTTTGAAGCCTTTGTTCTTTTACAGGTTGGAGCAAGAATGTGGTTGGATCAGTCAGTGTTCAGCACTGCAACAAGTGGGTGTGTGATTATGAGATGGAAACAGATGGAACTTGGCTACAAAGCCCCACCCTGTCAAATATGGGTGAGGCATTACTGATCTCCAGCCTGCATGTATGGACATTGGGTTATAGGATCAGGCTTATTATGAAGCTCTTTACACTCTTAACAGCCAACACTCATTGCACAGCTTCACACATGACCAACAGTCACTGACAAGAGGTACAAGACAGAAGCAGAAGAGGAAGAGGGGGAAGAAAATGAGCACGAGTAATTGATACTTGTATTGAACAACACAATGGCAGTAGCATGATGATGAGCCCTTGGAACTCCGTCCCCGAATCCCTTCATCTCGCCTCCTTCAAGGCCCATCTCGAGACCTTCCTCTTTGACAGAGCCTTCGGCCACATTCCCACCCCCACTCCCCCTACCCTCCAACCTTCTTGATTCCAAACCCCAGCTCGGGTGCAAACCCTTAACTGTCCAGTGGCTGCTTTGGACAGTGGCTGCTTTCAATTTGTTGTTATCGGATTTTACTATGTTTGTATCCATCTGGAATGTGCTCAGCACATCAGGGAGCTAGAGAAACAAATGCTGGGCAGCACAAGCTATTTTAATGTCACATCATAACATTTTATATCTTGTAAGAAGCAACATAATAAAACAAGTCATTTCTTCCCGCAACCAAATATGGTGTGTGCACTATAAAAATTAATTGTCAAATCAAAACAGAATGGAAATTCAGGATATCAGAGACTTGCCCTGTGGTCAACAATGTATATAATACAACATGGCATGTTAACAGTCTCATGTAGTGCTGATAGCTTGAAAGGTAATTCATGGATATCTCCCTCATCTCAATTTTCTAGGTTCCCCCTTCCCTTGTCTTGTAGATCTTACTGCTTTACACCCATTTTATGGCAGAGAAGATCTTGATAGATAGTGATCTATTAGGATCTTCCTCTTTAACTGTGCCTTTGGCCACCCTCCCACTACCCCGCTACCCTCCACCCCTCTTGATTCCAAACCCCAGCTTAGGTGAGAACCCTGAACTGTCCAGCACCTTGGAACCTCCTCCTGAAATGAAAGGTGCTATACAAATTAATTTGTTGTTGTTGTTATTCACAGTCTAGTAGGTTGGTAAAAATAATGCAAGAGTTGGTTGGTCTGATTTCTCTGCTGACTTAACTCCCACCCTGAAACAATAGGCTGACACCTCAAAGCAGCGCTAGGATGCATTGCGTTGTTGGGAGATGCTGTCCTTTGAATGAGACATTAAATCAAGATTCTGTCTGCCTGTTCTGGTAGACTTCAAAGATCCCACAGCACTGTTTGAAAAGACAAGGGAGTTTCTCTCAGTGTCCAACAATCCCCTAAACACAATTGGTCACTTACTTCACAACCGTTTGTAGAACTTTGTCGTGTGTAAAATGCCTGCTAGGTTCATCTAAAAAAGCTACACACAGTTTATAATATATGAAGTGCATTGAGACGTCATCCAAATGTGAAAAGGCGCTATATCAAATGCTGGGATTATCATTATTCCTGTTGTACTGCCCCAAGGGTATGAGTGACAGCTCCAATCAAGAAGGGGGGTGGGGGTGGGGGGGGGGGAGGAGGGCAAAACTAAATGCCATGCTCATAATGTGACTTGATGAGAACTTCAATAACAACAATAATCCTTGCATTTGATATAGCACTTTTCACATCTTCTATAGACGTCTCAAAGTGCTTCACAGAATATACTGTAAAGTGAATTGACTGTATATTTGTGGGCAAAACGTGGCAGCCAATTGCGCACAGCAGTGTCTCACAAACAGTAGTGGATTGAAGTGACCAATTTTATTATTTTTTTCTTGAGGGATTATTATCAAGCGCAAACGTTGCACAGTTTGAGCATGAAATCTGAGAGTCTGAACTCAAACCCAATTGGTTATGAGCTGCGTGATGACCCAAGAAAGATTACAAGTCTGACAGGGATTGATGGCTCTAAAACCAGCGTCCTTCTACACCAACAATGCAACAAGTACACTGTGCTGCTCTGCTCCATGGTGCTGCAAGCCATTCCTGACATTTCAGGAACTGCAGTTAAACAAATGCTGACATATCTGGCTCTAGTTCTGACAGTTTAATGCGCAGAATGTTCCTTTCCATCTCATGATATTCCCACTGAATTGCACACGGGGGTGACAACTGTAATGCTTTACAACAGATCTGATGAGATAACGAACACACCAAAGACTATGACAAACCATTTGCTAAGTCAAACAAGAGGAAAATTTGCAGTGTTCATAGAACGTTTAGATACAACTAGAAGCATCAACGAAACAAAGTTTATATACATTTTACACATGAAAAGCTGTGAGGGTTGGCCTGGGATCCAACAAAACCTCTTACCTGTTTGATGGTGAAGTCGTTAATCAGATGGTGGTTGTGTTCGTTCAGGTTACAGTGCAATGACACACAGTCGCTCTGGTAGAGCAGGTCCTGCAGGGTGTACACTCTCTGAACACCCAGCGATCTCTCAATCCCATCGGGGAGATATGGATCGTAAAATATTATATTAAAACCAAAGATTTTGGCTCGAACAGCAACAGCCTGACCAATACGCCCTGCAAATGAGTGGAAGAGCATAAATTTAGAATCTGCATCATGATAGAGCCAGGAACATGTTCAAATACTAATAAATTACATAACAAACATACCACTGAAGGATTAAGTAAGCAGATGTATTCAATGTGGAGCTTTTATTGCTGTCATTTAACCTGATGATTGTCCCAGACACAAACAGCGACTGTACAACGGTCCACACTGCAGGACCTCTGCTGTTAAATTGAGCTGTAATACCAGACTCTCGACGGAGTGAATAAATACGAAAGCCAATCTCACTAAGGTCCCGGCACAGGTCATGTTGTGCTGATCTCAGCTGCTTTGTTTGAGTTATCAATGGAAAGGTGACCCTTACTGTCTCTCCTGGCTATTCATCTAAGGAACAATATCTATAGCAATCTGGAACATGTCCACAGGCTGGATTGTGCCTGTACTCCTGACTCAGAAGAAAGTAGGAGAAGAACACAGATGGAAAGTCAAAATAACCCTTTACTTGAGCATGGCTCCATACCAAAGTGACCGTTCTTTATGTGTGATCCTAGACAGCGAAAATTGGTACATCAATTGTAAATCATGAAAATGCTCCCTCCAATGAGCCATGTGTAACCAACTGCCCCAGTGCAACACTAAGCCATACTTACTAGTAGGTCTGCTCTCACTCAGTGCTGCCAGCTAATTCAATTCGACTGCAGACGTCACAACCCAAAGCCTGATGCTATCTTCACCTGATGTGCATGTATGTACAATAATAATTCTTACATTTGATACAGTGCCTTTCACATCAGAAGATCGTCTCAAAGCATTTAGAAGGATTGATAGGTAGAGTGGAGTGAGTGTGCACTAATTTTGCACATAGCAATGTCCCACAAACAGTCAATCATGAAGTGAATGACCAATTTGATTTGAGTAATTGTTGACCAAAACACCTAAGAGAAACTCCCTTCTCTTTCTGAATAGTGAATCACACACAGACACACACTTCCCTCTTCAAGCCTGGAATAGTCACATGAATTGACGCTTCCTACCCGCTGTCCTAGCTGAATCAGCTATCAGCACAGAGTGAGAGCATAAGTTTGAGTCTCTGGTTTAGTCTGCACCAGTGGAGGATGATTACACATGGCTCGTTGGAAGGAGCATTTCCTCTGGTTTACAACGGATGCACCGAATGATCAAATAAAACTATTGCAAAGATTTTCCTTAAGCATTCTTGCAGAGTTCTAGCTTACTCATGAATTCAGATAAGGAGCAGAATCCAATTATTCTGTCACCGTACATCCTTCAGCTTTGCCAGCATATGAGGAAATATGAGCAGGAAAGCCTTTTCACTCAGGTGAGCTAAGTCAAGAACACTTTTGCAGTCGGATATTTCTGTCGAATAAGCTGTCATTCAACTGGTTTTGTTCAGCCCCTTTAACATCATTATACCTGCCAGTTATCGAGTTTCAATTCCCTTCATTTCACATCACAAAACCCTCGAAATCTGACACTAAGTCTTTAATTTAAGACTCCATAAGCCTGAAGAGATTGCCCATTTAATGCTAGCATTTCAAGGTCACCTTTTAATACTGTGTAATACAGGTGTGACCGCTTCATCGGCTTCAGAGGACAGAGACAAACAACGTACTAAAAACCAGGTCTCTACCCAATACACCAATGTGCCAGTGCAGTCTCAATGAATTTGACTTTGCAACAATATTTTCGCCAGTTTTATGAAATAAATAGTTTAGACACACCATCGTTTGTAACATGTTGTCATGGCAGCTTCTGGGTAGATGGATTTTTAATTGGGCATGACTAGGACAACTGTCATGGTGAGGGCTAAGGGCTGACATGCATTTAATGAGGAGGTTCTGATAAAGAAGGACAGCTGCAATGTAATCAGTAGATCATTAGACACAATGTCATTCTAGGAGCCAGCTACCAACTCCAGCTAACAATCCCAACTGTTTCACTGGGAAAATGTAAGTGTGCATTTCCAAATGCAAATAGTAGAAGTTGGTGTCTCCACACAACCTCGCTTCTAACAATATAAAATGTTATGATTGCAATAAAAATACAAACAGCAGTGACCCACTGCCAGCAATAATTAACTGGCACCTTACTTAAGTGCGTTTCTTAAGCTGAATCTTAACCGAGAATATGGCAGTTATAAAAATGTCTTTCCAGATTTTTTTTAATTGATCATTCAAACAAACTTTCCCCCTGGAGAAAGTTTAACTGTGTAGTTGTTTTGTGCTGTGCTGTAGGATTCTATGATTCCATTCTATCCAATGTCTTGTGCAAAGGTAACTTAGTATTGGGAATTTTATTTGGTTACTCCAACATCTTCAACAAAAAGATGTGCCATCTCTGTATTGATCTGCATTGCTCTACGCTATTCGGGAAGGATTTATTAAAGCCAGATATTTGGACTCTCAATTGATTATTGAAGTGATTATTCAGTGCTTTAAATGGATGAGACATTAAACTGAGGTCCTCACTATTCAGGTAGGCATTAAAAAACCCATGATACTATTTGAAAAGAGAAGGGAGTTTCACCTTGTGTCCTGACCAACAATATTGGTCCAACCAATCACCTGGTGGGTGCCTGGTGGGACATTGCTATGCACAAAAAGGTTGCCCACATTAACAGTCACTGCATTCGATGTTGGTGACTTCAAAGCGCTTTGAGGATTGCTATAAAAATGCAAGTTCTACAAAACAGTTCCACACAATCTCTTTTCCAGCTATTGTGATAGAAAGAGGCCAAGACACAAAGGGGGAGGTGGAGGATGAAACAAGGTTAAGAATAGTTAAATGGGAACTAAATGTCTTTGAACATCAACTGCAATGGAAAAAAACGATTTGTAAAAAAAGATAAGAAAATGACTCAATAAATGACAGCTCCAGCCTTGGTTTTTTTCTACTTGTAAGTAAGGCTATTTACAATTGGACAAGCTAACAGAATAGTGCTGCTGGAAGCAGAGAGTTCCTTTGCATTGTGTCCTGTTTTGAGATAAGGGAAGCTGAAGAATCTACGTTACATTGTGTGCCCATTGTTAATAAAGTTAATATTATCAGACGCTGATACAGTAAAACATTATGTACTACTCAGGAAGTGTTGCAAATAAACTTCCTAGACTCTTTTGTGAAAAAAGGACTGACAGAAAAAAAAAACTTTGTAAAACAGTAATGACAAGTTTACATTTAGATTGCACCTTTCACGTCAGGAGAATGCCTCAAAACGTGCTTCACAGGATTTACTGTAAAGTATAGGCGAACATCTACAAATAACATTGTTGATAATTATCAGTAACATTTCTTCCAAAGTGTACTTAGAAACAACCTGATCACAGTGCGGATAAGTGGGAAGTGCTGTTATACAGTAAGCTGCCCTCCATCTTGTACTACTTGACATTTGTATGAGTTCTTTATTGCTAGTTAAATAACAGTCAATGCACTCTACAGTCTATCCTGTGAAGCGCTTCGGGATGTCTCGAAGACGTGATAAGGCGCTTAAATCAAATGCAAGGATTATTATAATTCAGTGTAAGAATATGAGCATGAACAGTGAAGCATCCAGATAAAGACCCTGGAAATGATTATGAAATGATTCACATCCATTGCCTTGGTGAGAAGGAAAAGTTACGATTGACTTTTTGTGGGTTATCAGCTGGTGTCAGTGAATGAGGCAGAGAGCGACTAGCACTTCACTTGCCCTCTCCTGGTGCTCACCGAAGCCGATGAGTCCCAGTGTTTCCCCACGGATTCGAGCTGCTCCTGACGCCACTTCCCGAATCTGCTCGACACTCTGCACCCTGGTGCCCTCGCGCAGCGCCTGGTACAGCCACGTGTTCCGCCGGTACAGGTTCAGGATGTGACAGAGGGTAGAATCGGCCGTCTCTTCCACTGCTGCTGCGGGGATGTTACACACTGCAATCCCTGTGAGAGACAGAGGGAGAAAGAGATCAACAACAACAAATTAGATTTACATTCACACCCGAGCTATTGGTTGGGATCAGAAGGGGTTGAGGGTAGGAGGGTGGCCGAAGGAATGGTCGAAGAGAAGAAAATCAGTATAAAAAACTGAAGATTTAGTACCACTCAAATGCAATTTTACAACAAGGGCATTTGCCGTATGTTTAGTTCAACGATATAGCTTTGAAGTGTCGATGACCAGTTAATACCATAATAGCTCTACCTTGAAGTAAAACTCTACCAGTAAAGGAATGAATAGGGAATACAAGGTGACACAGGTCATAGTAGTAGGGCAGAAGAGTACAGAACAAAATGGAGGCATTTTTCTTTGCCAATATCACTAAGATGAGTAGGTGTTGAAAACTGAGTCAGGGAGATCAGCTTTCTCTTTAGCAGAATTGGTAACTGAACCATCAGATGAAGCATTTCTTTCAAATGATTATTTATGACACTTGACCCAAGATTAACGCAGCACCAACGCTCAGTCAGATACTGAACTTAGAACTTGTGTCCCACAATTGTGGTACTTCCATTCACGTGCCTGTATTCAGCACTTCTGATGCTTGTAAATACAAACTTGGATTCCTCTATCACCGGGGAAGTACATTGAGAGGGTTGTGGAGTGAAACATTTTCCAGTTCAGCACCGTATCTCTAATCTAACTCAAACAGTGAGCAACAGAATGGGTAGGAGTCCACTTGTGTACACAAAAGCAGTGGAAGTCTACATTACTGTACAAACTTCAATAATAACATTGATTTCACTTACAGGGTCTCCCCCAAATATTTGTCAATAGAGGAGATGCAAGATTGGTTTTCTGGGATTCCTCCCCCCCACCTGCCACCGCGATCATCTCCCTCCCCTGGTGATCTCCTGCACTGAGAGCAGACAGTGCAGATCCGCAGAGTGGATTACTGCGCCCACAAAGCTGGGCCCTGACCTCCAGGGGTGCAGTAAGTCAAAGGAACAACCAGCTGCATATAGCCACCCTGCCAGAAAAGGGAGAGATCACTCCAGAAACCGCACCCTCCCCAAATAAATCAATGTAGACAGCTATGGTATTGCACTAGGTTTATTCTGCGTCAATGTTTAAAATAAAAACATATCACTGTTAATTATATATTTGTTGCTCAGGCACAGTGTAATATTAACAGTATCGCATTCACCCTCCTAGTCTCAGAAACCATTACTATCCATCACTGTCACTTGCGAGCAGAATTGGCAGAGTGATGCTTGCAGCTGGAGCTACAGTTTGTAACTAACAGCACTAAGTGGTAAATGCTTCGACCTCCGAAGAAACGTTGCTCCTAAGGGGATATTTACACTCCTCCAATCTGTCAGGTTCTGTGTACATCTGTCGCGTGTGCCTACGCTGGAATCTAGCAGAGCTACAGAGGTCAGCCCGATACAGTTAAGCAATAGAAAACATTCTTCTCCACACGAGGCTAGCCACATTGAACACAAAGGGCTTGTGGTGGGGGAATACAATACTCAGTATTTGCAGCATTGCTTTTTTAACTGCCTTTTGATGCTCGTGTATTGGGTTCAAAGGTTTGGCACTGACCTCTAGCCTGTTTCCTCGCCTTCACTCTCCTTTCCGCTGCCTCGAACAGACGCAACTTTTAGACACCTCGGGGTTGTTATTCTCTGCTATCATTTGACGATGTGAGTTTACATTGAAAAATCTTATTGTAAACTTACACCGCCACAGATTGGAAATTTACAGGCACGTGGAGAATAATCCAGTTCTGCTGCCAAAAGCTGATATATTTATCAAGTGGGGAATAGCAACTTAATATTGGGAAATGCCCCAAACTGCAAAGCCCCATAAACAGCCCTGAACATAATGCAAATGACTAACTATAAAAAGGTACATAAAAGTCTCCCCTGTAAACAGCAGAAGCCTACACTGATCTGAAAAAACGTGGTTCTCGGACATTTAGGAGGTTTTAAGAGGCTTGGTGATTTAATGTGGAAACTCACAAGGCAGGAACGCTGTTTAAATAAAATGCTAATGTGAGTTTGAAGATGCACATACTGCAGTCTTCAACCATGACTTATTAACAAGAGGTCACAGTTATAATGGAAGTAATGGTATTAGCAACAGGGGCTGGTGAAAGGATCATTGCAGTTAATTGCACTGAAGTCAATACCTGACAGTTGTGTATTTCCATTAAGTGAATGGAGACTGGAAATCCAAGTCTCTTCTCTATATACATGGAGTCTTCGCTCTGACCATCTGAATGCAGTTCGGGTAAACCATTAATTGAAGATTTTTCCTTGCAATACGTGGACGAGCTTTCAGTCTTGGAAAGAGATGTGTCAGAGGGGAACTTTTAGAGGTATTTAAGATTTTAAATGGAATTGAGAAAGTAAACCCAGAACAATACTTGGATGGATCGATGCAGCAGAACAAAAGGATAGAGATAGGTTCAGGATGGCAAAGACAGGCACCAGGAAATATTTCTTTACCCCGAAGATAATTAACAACTGGAACAGACTGCCAGGAGAGGTGGTTGAAGCTGAAGTGCCCAACTCATCAAACAGAAACAGCTTGATCTTGTGATGGGAGTATGGGAAGCTGGCTATTCTAGAAGAAGGATGTGATCATGTGGGCCAAAGGTTTTTCTTGTGATCTTCCTTGCTCAGTCTGGATCACAGGCTAACACATTTTTTTTTGACTACTTATCGAAATGCAGTCAGTTGCTAGATAAACTCTGACAAAATCTGGTGCCTGGGGGTTGGGAGCAGGAAGGAGGGGGTGCGCCTGGCTCAGTGGTAGCACTCTTGTCTCTGGGTCAGAAGGTTGTGGGTTCAAGCCCAACTTTGGGACCTGGATTCACATAGTCTGAGTTAAACCCGTCTGCCTGTTCACGTAGACGTTAAAGATCCCATTGCACTATTCAAAAAGAGAATAGGGTTTCTCCGGATGTCCTGGCTGACAATCCCCCAAAGAAAATTGCTTACTCACTGTAAGGCTGTATGTGGGACGTTGCTGTGTGCAAACTGGCTGCCTCTTTTCACCCACAAAGTACACAGTATATCCACTTTAACAGTATGTCCTGTGAAGCACTTGAGAGGTCGTAACAAACAGCAAAGATTGTTATTATCCCTGAGTGTATTTTGGGAAGCAGCCTGCTTGGACAGTGTTGTCCGATAAATAACCATAATCTTTGCATTTGATATAGGGCCTTTATCACGTGTTTGAGACATCTCAAAGCGTTTCACAGAATATACTGTAAAGTGAATAGACTATATATTTTGTGAGCAAACAGAGCACATGTTGATGCTAGGGCTCTCCTGGTCTGGGACGTTCAAAGTTCATTTCAATAGCTTGTTGTGGTAAATTCCAAACAACTTTCTGTGTAAGAGCATTTCTTCTAACCCCCCTTCATTTTTTTTGCTGATAATTCTCTTTTTATGGCATCCAGCTAATAATGACTCACTGATCAGTGGGAATAGATTCTCTAAAAATTTACCCTAACAAAACCAATCGTGGTTTTGAAAAACCCCAGGAGATCCTCCTTGAATTCTCGGCTCCAACAAAAACAGTCCCAGCTTTTCAACTCCTGCCTATTTGTTACTGTGAGAAAATTGGCTGTTGCGTTTGCCTACAAATACAAAATCACTTCACGGTACTTATCAGTGAAGTGCTTTCTGACGTTTCAACATTATGGATACTATATCAAATGCAAGGATTCTTATTATAAGAAATCTCTCCTCATAACTATAATACTATAATAGTCTTGAATAGTCAAACTCCGCTGATCCATCTCCTTGCCTGTGATGACTTGTCTCAACGTTTAATCGTTGGGGGTGGCAGTAGACTTGCATGACAATGAATAGTTTGGATTGTACACATCGAATGTCATCATTCTGAGCACACCTTCTCCACCTCACCTATGGGACAATCCAAGGCACTCAACAGGAACAAATCCTGCCAGATTTCAGCTACAGGAAGTGTATGTTGCCAATTACCTTCTTGCAGCATAGAGTGTACTGAATAAACTGTTTAAATAATGGTCAAGTAAAGTGCATCTTTACATTTGAAACTGTATCCCACTCCACTGACAAGAATATCCCAAGCCTTTACAAGAGAGTTCCTTGTTCAGCTCTTTCTCTGGCACATACTTAAATCAGCATCTTGTAAGCATCAATAACAGTCTGAGTTGCTTCAAACAGAGGGTACAGTTTATGTAGTGGCACATAGCCAGTTTGCTCTGGTGACTTTAATTTGGCAAAAGTCTTCCTTATAAATAGTATTCTAGACTAAATAACTGCATGATTTACATCTCCAATGAGAAAGATTTTCAGAAAGTTATTCATCACAATGTATAACTACCCAAAGGAGAGAATAAAATTCCAACCTATCTGCAGAATAGGAATTCTCGCTTGCAAAAGGGCTTATCTATCCACTTTCCTAGGTCTATATCGGTATTCAATACTGGATCCAACAAAATGTCATTAAAAAGGCACACATGGAGTCCCTGGGATTGCTAGTAAAACCACTGACCTGCTTTTTTCTGCTTCCAATATATTTTTTCTGGGAAGCTTCTATGCTGGATTTTCACTGTATAATCCAGTACAACTTTCTAGTTTCATAAATAAGGTGTGTGTGTGTGTGTGATGCCTTGCGTGTCAGCCTGGCACACTGGTAGCATTCTCGCTTCTGAGTCAGAAGGTTGTGGGTTCCATATATTGTAAACTGCTGTTACTGAATTTTGAGTGCCAACACAGCAACCAATTTGCACACAACAATTCCCCACAAACAGCTATGAAATGAACGCTCGATTTTATTTGGAGGAATGTTGGCCCGGACAAACTCAAACCTGCAACACATTATCCTGGTACTTTAACTTTAGTGGGGTGTAATTTGCTGCAATTCATATCAGGAATGGTTAAGGTCAAGTCTGAGGGAGGCCTGGCAGGAACCAGGTGTTGGTAACACCAGTTTGTGGGAACGTTTAAAGTTAAGAAGGTATTCCCTGAATCGGCACTGAAATGGTGGGATCTGGCTGGGAGCATGACCACAGCTGCTTCCACAGCTTCAGTAACTGACTTGGGATGCAACCACTTGAAAAAAAAAAGGAAGGGAATGTTCACCTGCTGCAGATGGGACATCGCAGTAACAGACTACCCCACAAACGGGAGCGTTTTCACAGCCGGGGATATTATAACCAGTGATGATTATCACATCACCTACCACATTTTGTTTTATCCCCAGCTTTTAGAATTACCTCGAGAAAGATGATTGCTAAAGGACACTTAAGGCCTCTGGTACTCACCGAGTTCGCCAGCAGTTTTAATGTCGATGTTGTCGAACCGCTGCCTATCCGTACAATTATCCGTAAGGCTTTGAACTTCTCCAGATCTTCTCTGGTTAGAGTGATGTTGTGATACATCAGTGCCCCAACAGCTTCATTTAGGACCTGCAAAGAAATGGGAATCATAAGTAAACCTGGATGTAAGCTGCAATGCAAGACATATTTATAACACCCTGGATCCAACTACAAAGGCACTATAAACAGTGAGGTTCCCTGGATTCTATTTACAAATCAGGTGCAGATGTAAAGCATATTTTTTGCTCTTGCCTAGACTTTAAAATCTTTTTCTCATGAAACTGACTCCATTTTGTGTGGGTGGATATACTGGAATTGTGAGACAACATATATCATTAAGTCTGAGCAGAAGTGACAGCATTTCCACCGTCTGAAAATAACCATGGTCGTATAGGGGGTTGAGCTTCTGAAGGTTGGAAGAATTTGCCATTTCCTTTTCTTTTGTTGATTGATTATCCAAAAAGAAATTAAGAACAAATGACAATGTTTGTCATTCATTAATTCAAGAATGGCCTGTTTTTCTGTGGTGTGAATTTCTACAGTTCTGTTCATCATGGTAGCTGATCCTCGTTGGCATTTGGCCAGTGCTAAGTAAAGTCATTGCAAATTTATGTTGGCTGCCTGGCTTAAAGCACATGTAATTTCAATCACGCGTGTGACATTTTTATACGATATTGCAGATATTCTGAGCCCTAGCCAAGGCCCCAGTTCAGACTCTACCATGGCCCCAGCATCTCGAGTCAGGAAGGGGAGAATTGCTCAGGGTTCCTGGCCCTGATAACAGGCCACACCTGTGGGTGTGCGTGTGTGGAGGTCAGGTCAGGATTGCAGAGACCATGTATTTGGACACACATATATTCCATGATGTTGAGATTTAATTGGGCTGATGAAGGAGCTTTTTCAACCGACCCCGATCTCAATAATAATTCTCACATTTGATAATACACCTTTCATGACGGGAGCGCGATTTAAAGAGCCCTACACAGAATTTACTGGGAAGGGTAGTGATTGTGTATTTTGTGGGTGAATGCAGCAGCCTGTTCACGCATTGCAGTGTCCCACAAACCAACCATGAAGTGAATGATCAATTTTATTGGGCGCATTGTTGGGAGTTTCTCCAAACTCACTTCTCTTTTTGAATAGTGCCATGAGATCTTTAACATCCAGCTGAACAGATAGATGGGCCCACAGTATAATGTCTGATCCCTACAACAATGCAGCAACAATGCAGCAATGCATTGGGAGTGTCAGCCAGACCAGGTGAATTCAAAGTCCTGACGTGGGGCTTTCGACTCAAGAGGCAAGAGTGTCACCAACTGAGCCAGACTGTCATAAATAACAGCTACTTGAGTGAGGTAGCAATGCGTGACTGGTACCCAAGGAACTGTGTCCGAGCAAGAGTCTGTGCCTTCAGGAAAGGAGGGAAACATTAATAATAAAAATAATCCTGCAGCACTAACTGTATTTAACTACTGAGTAAGTCCGTGAGTAATTGAATGAGGAAACAAGGTACTGACTGTTTTAAAGAAATTAATAAATTCTGACCGGATTTTTTAAAAAAGACAACCACTTGTATTTTGTTACAAATGCAAGACAACGACTTGTATTTTTACAACTATTTACAATACTGACTGATCGATAAATACTTGATTTACTTCACTGGATAATTAGACATGGACTGCGCTAAATGAAATGATGAAATTAGTGGCTAGATTGATTATCAATTATTTGAGGTGTGTCGCTATCAGCCTGTATGTCGTCTTAGATGTAATTAGGGGCTCTCTCTTTACAGATTAGTTCTGCCCCACCTCTCTCTCTATTTCTACATCTTCCTACATGTTCCTCCATCTCTTACTTTTCCCTCCAATGCCTTACATGGATCAGACACTTTGGTCTTCCCCTGTTGTCCCGGAGGATACTAAATTATCAGAGACTAGTTCCCTGAACCGTCGGATCAACTGGCTTTAAAAAAGCATCAGCTACAGTGCTGGTTGGAGCTGTCAACCAGCAAACTGGCTTCAAGCGTAAAAACATAGTTGAGTTGGTGGAAAGCCAGCCAAAAGTTACACAATTAGGGACACAGGAATGTACAGGGCTAGAGAAAAAACACTGTGATTCATCCTAAATCTGTCATCTTAAATGGGCAGCTCAAAAGCAGTTCTAAAATTGCCACAGAAGGCAGAGAGGTTGGGAAAATGCCAGGCTGTAGCAGGGGTTTATTTACTGGGGTATTCGATCACACAATAATTTGCCAACGTTTAGTACTCCACATTGCAATAATTCTCCTCCGATGACTCCAAATACTTTGATTTCTATCTGTTAGATAAATACCTTTTACAGTAGAAAGCCACAAGAATTTGACCACTAGTCCAGCTGACAAGGAATTTCAATGCCATACAAGTTATATTGATATAGTGCTTTTCACGTCGGGAGGACATCTCAAAGCGCTCGATCCTGGGCTCTCCCAGACTTTCTGATTAATTAAAGCCTCCTTTGCTTTTTTTATTACCTGCCCTGCAGTTAATAGCTGCACTGTTTGTCCTTAGCAACCTATTGCTGAGCAGACAATATCAGTATCCCAAAGACCATTAATATTAGTGAATGTACAGTGCTGTGGTGAGGTCGCATCTAGAGTACTGCGTACAGTTCTGGTTGCAACGATATAAAGGGGCTGCCCAAGGCCCTTAAGGCAACAATGATTTCACAGTGTTAGAGGAATGAACTGTAAGCAATGATTTAACAGGATTAGGTTCTTCGGGAACATCTCAAGAGAGGATCTTAATAATAATAATCCTTGCATTTGATACAGCGCTTATCAGGTCTTTGAGACGTCTCAAAGTGCTTCACAGAATATACTGTAAAGTGAATTGACTGTATATTTTGTGGGCGAAATATTCTAACTCTAATAGAGGTCTATAAGATTTTAAATGGGTTTGAGAAAGTACGTTTGGAATGATGACAGCATTGCTTCCTGTCCATAAACAGATATGTACTGTTACTAAACAACAGCTTAAATATGACCGCGTTACTGCTAGCGGCTGCTGAAAGTCAAGCTGACCTCTAGCCACAAAGGCTACGACTTATCAAATTCTATGATTAGGGCCCAGCAAAAGCATAACATGGCACACATTTTTTACTACAATTATCACAATGTTTGAATGCTCTGCAAACAGAACAGCAATCCTCTCCTCCTCACAAATGGGATGGAGGATCTCTGTGTGTCTCAATTCCCTTTGCGAAAGACACAGAGTTTAGAAGCAACACTGGTAAGGAAAGAATCACTGTTAAATGCTGTGAAGCCATTTCAAATTGAATTGAAAATGTCACATTTTGAGTGTTTTCCACAGGTCGGGAGAAAGAAAGTGAACAGCCAAAGTTTAAGCTGTCACAGAATGCCTTGCGGGGTCTCCAGAGACAGCAAGACGTGTTCAGGGTAGATTTTGTGATGTAGGTCATTGAACAAAAGGGATATTGTAAGTTTTAACTACAATATATATCCCAGAGCACTTGCACTTTGATTTGTGTGCTGTAATACACACACTAAAGCTGGCAGGAAGACGAGCCAGAGCCTGGTTAGATGTTCTGCAGAACACTGGCTGTTAGAATAATCTGTTCGCTTTAGAAGTAAACCTTGATCTGATCATCACAAAGTAATCCCTGAAAGAGGACGTTGGGACTACCTGCCTCATCAGATATTAAAAGGGTAGGTCATTTAAGACTGCTTTATTTCAGCAATAAAGCCCTAGAAATCTGGCAATGAGAATCGTAGAGCAAAGGATTTACTTCAGACAGGCAGCTCAAAAGGTGTTGACCCACATGATCCCTTTTGACTGACATACTGGAGTCAAACCAGTCTAGCAAGGTCTTTATAATAGGAAATTACACTGCTAATGATCAACAAAAGCATTGCTATTTTTAGAGATGAGCACATGATAGATTACAGTCTCTCCAGCAGTACTGCTGACTTCTGCTCGATTGAGGGTTTTAAAGGGCAATTTCAGCACAGACACCAGCAATCAAGACAAATGATGGCACTTTTCCCCAGTTACGAATTTTTAAACTTGATCACAAAATAATGGCTGGTATCACTGACCACCGCTGCTGGTCACAGGATTAACTGCAACGTGTAAGTGACTGTGTAATTTATAGACAAACATGGTGTGACAATTTTCACAGCAATGGCCCACAAAGAGCCTCGGACAATTGTATCTGGTGAATTGTTAACCGAGACACCACGAGAAACATCCCCTCTCTTTTTGAATAGTACCAGGGGATATTTACAGTCCATATGAACAGACAGACTGGACCTCGGTTTAACTTGTGGAGTCCTGTAGCTCAGTGGTTAGAGCACTCGCTTTGCAAGTGAGAGACCTGAGTTCAATTCCAGGCAGAGGGCAAAACCTTGGGCAAGTTTCCTTACTCCACACAGAGCCTAATAATAATCCCTCCAAAAAACAAAAACAATAATAAATTGGTCATTTTCAATCTACGACTGTTTGTGGGACATTGCTGTGCGCAATTGGCTGCCGCGTTCGCCCACAAATATACAGTCAATTCACTTTACAGTGTGTTCTGTGAAGCGCTTTGGGACGTCCTCCCGACGTGAAAAGCGCTATATCAAATGCAAGGATTATTATTAACGCTTCATCCAAAAATACAACACAGCCCCAGCACTATACTGGAGTGCCAACCTAGACTATACGTGTTCACCAAAAAAGAAGCAAAGATACCTTCGACTCATTCTCGCCGAGGTTAGAACTGAACACTACCTTTTCATGAATCTCCTGAGTTGACTGTGCGTCACAGAAGGCTACAGTTGCCATATCTTTGAGGATTGGCATCTCCACGGTGCAGTCCCGGCCGTCAAGCAGCGCCACCAGGGGGCGTGGGTGCATTGGTCCATTCATAATCTGTGGACGGATACCTGTGAGCAAGACATGAATTGGAGCCGTTATTAAAGCCTCATTCAAATCGGGATCGGAGTCAAAATCTTTGTAGCAGGCTGAAAGGAAGCCAAATGAACCAACAACAAAAAAAAAACAATTTCTGGCAACAAACAAAAAAGACTGGCCCTGGCCCTATAACAAACTATAAAACATTCCCCAATAGAAACAAAGTCCCACACATCCGACACTCTCAGTGTGAAAGGCCTTGTGTTCAGCACTCCTCACACTTCAGGAGTTTTGAGACGATTCAACTGCGCGGTATAAAAGCCTCGTGTAAACATAACTGACGTCTGAACTCTGCATTCTCTCTCAAATGAAACCGGTTCAAGTGGAGGAGGTGTGAGTCAGGGCCCAATAGGATGTGTGCATTTTCTAGCAGATGCCATAGGATAGACATCAGGAGCGGGCACCTTGGATGAATGTTCCTCTTCTTTTAGTGGTTTTACCACCACTGCCTGAGCTGAGGTCAGCCAAGTCGTCCCAGAATAAGGATCGTAACCCAGGACTCAGGGGCCATAAGGCTCGGTGCCATAGGCAATCGTGGAAGAAAGATGTTGAAGAGTAATTTTTAAAAAATAACTGTGATTTCAAATCAAATGGGTGGGGGGGAGGGTTGGGAGAGAAATTAACATCTGCACATTCCCATCTCTCAAAGTGCTGGAACACAAGGCTTTTAGCAGCAACCTCTGCAGCAACAGGGAACAGCCAGCAGCCCGGGTCTGGCACTCAGTTCCGAGTCAAACAGAGACACAGCCTGGATCGAGATAGCCCCTGCTGTCACTGTATGCAAGGAGAAAGTCCAGCTGCCTCCAAAGTCTTGAAAATAATTTTAGGTTGTGGGAGGGGGTGGGGATAGAGGAAAGAAGCCGACGTTTTGTTCGGTCACTGGACTGACAGCAACAGCCAGTGTGGGTTATTTTCTCCGAGCTGCTCTGGATACTAACTCACTAAGCATTTCAATGCACCAAAGCGTGGGCTTCAGTTTTATTCATCGGAACACAGCACTGACACAACAACAGCGTCAGGTCGCAAACAACCTCAAGTGACACACAGAAAGTATAGGCACAAGGGGAAGGACTGACTTGTTTATTTTAAAAAAAGGAGGGCCTGAGGATATTTTGAAAGATCTGAGTTAAAGGGGGAAAACACGTGCATCTGTGTGTACATTGTGCGCATTTATCCTCGTGGAATAATGGGCACCGTGATGGTTGGAGCAGGTGTGTTTGCCTAAAATTAAATGCCAATGGGCAAACACAGTGACCCACGAGGGGAGGGGGAGATCATAACCTGAAGGTGGTAGTGAATGGGTTTACATTGTGGGTTAATATTTTATCAAAAAAACTATTTTAGCGCAACCCAAAGTAAGTAGAACTTAGCCTCAAGTTCAGACAGGGTTGGATATGCAATATTAGCCCAGCATTTCTCTCAGTGCTATAACAGGCTCCCAACTATAGCCTGGATTTGCGAAGAATTTGTAAATATTGAACCTTGCCTGTAGCCAGAAGCAAGTTACATTGACCTGTGGGGACACTGTTCCCCTTAGACTTGGGATGAGACAGCAAAGATCCCACAGTCACTGCCACTCAACTCTGACGCGATCCAACATTCATCCCGTACATTGGACAGATAATGAGAAGAGAATCCAATGTAGTCCGACTTCCCTTGTTAACAGGACTTCACTCTAGCTCTCTGCATCACTACAAGAACTGGCTTTGCAAGAAATAGGTTTAAGAGGAAACTCAGCATGCCTTTGAAGACAATGAAACAGAATCTTAACAGAGAAACATGAGGTTCGTCTATCACTACAGCTTTAGCAGGTCTGCAAACATCCCCGGGCATTCTGGAACTCACATTTACAATTCCAAACACAGCCCTTAGAAAAACATACTGGAGCTTATGCGGCCAACCTGTGCACTCGATAAAATAACTGACCAGAGAACATCAAACATGATGTCAGCTCACACACTCTGTTAGAGAGAATCTGTACAGAACTTCCAAGTCAGCACAACAGCACCTGAACCATACCGCCAAAATGTACCCTAGACACATGCTGCAAGGTGCAAGCTTAATACCCCACAATGCGCTGACTCCCCGAAATATATAGTATATACCAGGTGTTGCCTTTTGGTATATTTTAACTCTTTCCTCTCCATAAAGCGCTATTGTTTAAGCGAATCTGAGCTGGGCTCCAGTGACCTGGATTGTCACCAGCAATGCGATTTGTGCAATTCGCAGATCTTCATCCAGCCTTTCTCCACGCTCCTCCCTCCCTGAGCAGTTTACTGATGTTAATAAAAAAAACAGCATTTTGCAGCAAAACGAAATGCAGTGAACTGATGAACTAATAAGTAATGGTGTCAGTCTGGCTCAGTTGGTGGTATTCTCTCTCGTCTCTTTGTCAGAAGGCTGTGGGTTCAAACTCCACGTCGGGACTTTGAGCTCACAGTTTAGACTGACATTGTAGTGTGAGCGCGGAGAAGCACTGCATTATCAGAGGTGCTGACCTTGGGACAAGACGTTAAACTGGACACTGGTACAAAGAGCTGGTTAATAATTACAGTGGCCAGTGAAGGGATTAATAACCATTCCAGTCTTAAGAGGAATAATCAAAACTGCAAAACGCAGTTCGAACCATGTTAGCAAAATGCTTTCTGGACTCTCTCCCAACCCACTTTACAGTATTCCTTTCAGACAAATCGAATGCCCAAAAGATAAGCTGGAAGGACAAGTGTGGAAATGGCAAATTTGCAGAACATCTGTCACTGCTGTCTCTTCTATCCAAACATTCAGCCATGCTGCATCTGCAGTAAGTATTTAAAAACCTGACACTGCACATGTCATTTTCTTTTATCACGCCAAACACCATTTGAACTGCACGAGCGACCACAGCAGCCACCATCAAACATGGCCATGAAAACGCATAGTTTAAAGGCGTTACTAATGCCCTCGATCAATATATGGGAATCTGCGATGCTGCAGATTATGTTGATCAGCAAAAAAAAATCTATTCCAATAATCTCAGACATAATTTTTATCTACATTATGTTTTGGATGAAAATGCTTCCACTTATGATAAAAGGTTAACTAGCCGTACCGTTATTCACAAAGACACTCCATTATTGCCTGTGCTTCTTAACCGTTATTTTGAGATCATTTCTGAATGTACTGGGATTCTGCCATTTTATATATAAAGGTCAGTGTAGCAGAATGCCTTGACCTTTCACTGAGACTTCACACAAGTTCTAACTTCTTGCAGCACAGATAACTTCACTTATTTCTGTTAACTATTATTGTTCGATCTTGATAAGATTTTCTTTCAACTGCAGTTGTTTATTCGTGGGGCACTTTTCTCTCACAGCACCTCAGAGGTAGTGTAACATTTATAAACCAAGTGAAAATGGAGACGGAAATTAATTCTGTCAGGTTGGAAGGTGAGGGAGGGGGTTGAGATAAATTAAGCTACCTGATAAAGGGGTGTAATGGCTTATTGCCCAGGAACTTGCACACTGCAAAGCAGAATTCAGTTCACAATCCTTAAATACAAGTGTCCAATGAATTGAATACCAGCACAGGTAACAATAATCATTACATTTGATATAGAGCCTTTCACAACGGGAGAGTGCCTCAAAGCACTTCACAGGATACATTGTAAAGCCAAGTAACTGTGTATTTTGTAAGGCAAGGTGAGCAGGGACTGTCTTTAAGAGGACTATTCTTCGCATAGAAATGTTTCTGTGAGAATTACGGTCAATACCAGAAATTCTTGAAATTCCAGAACCTGCACCTTTAATTCATTCTGTTTGTTAAGTAGCTGTATCTGAAGGGTACTTACATGCCTAAACAGGATTAGAAACCAAGTCCTATTTTATTCTGATTTTCATAAAAAAAACAGCAATATTTTGCCTCCTTAATTATATTTCCTCCGGGACTACTGTCTTCATTAGCTGGGAGTCATCAGCCCAGTGACTGATGCCAATCCATAATCACGTGGCAGCATAGAATTACACAGAACGTTACAGCGTGGAATTGTGCCATTTGGCCCAACTAGTGCTCTCCCTCCCTCTCCCCTAGCCCTCTACTCCCTTCTCTCTCATGCATTCATCAAGTTTCCTCTTAAATGCATTGATGCCTTCTCCTGCAGCCACAACTTCCAACAGCCCAATGCTCCCCAAACCAAGATGTTCACGGTGTGGCAAGCAAACAGTGTCCCTTTTCTCCATTGCTTCCAATGCACTGTCACGCAGTGCTGGCAAATCGTGACACATGTCTGTGCTCGGGGCGAGGGGAATGAAGTGGCAGCCAGCTCTGGCACATCACCAATACGCTCCTCCAATCAAAGCGACATGCAAGAACGGAAAAGATCATTATAGTCCGTCTGGTCGGTCTCATTTTCGAAACGCCATCTGTACCGTGCATCCAGCTCAATCCCCTTCATCATCATAAACCTCATCTCACTCCTCCCTTGCAACCACCCACCCTCTCCCACTCACTGCACCAGATACAACATTGTCTGTTCCCTCTGATCGCTGCTCATGATTCTTCAGCAGGTTGAATGGTCAAAAGATGCTTTTCTCTACGACTTTGGTCAACACCTTCAAACTCTCTCACCTTTCCTCCTTGTTCAATTACCCCCCATTGTACTTGTGAAGCGCTTTGTGATGTTCATCAAAAGGGACCTAATAAATGCAGGTTTTTATCTCTGTATCTTGTCTTGAATTTGATCTGCGGGAAAGCTTGGCTATACAGCACATTGATAGACTGACACTGGAGTAGCAAGACATGAAACCTCCAATGCCTCACTTCGGAATATCTGCCAGATCGCCAGATGTGTGTATGGGGAGAGAGGGAAGAGGTAAACAAAAAGCAGCAGGTTAGATCACCTCAATGCTCAATAAGTAATACTAATAATCCTTATATTTGATATAGTGTCTTATCAAGTCCTCGAGACGTCTCAGAGCGCTTCACAGAATACTGTGAA